AGATGACCTTGAATTCAATCTTCCAGCCCCTGTCTCCAAGTACTGGGATTACAAGCCTGTGCCATCACCTCTAGTCCATGTGGTGCAGGGGATTGAACCAAGGGACTTGTGTATGCCAATCAAGCTGTATCTGGTCCTTTCTAGTGAGCTTTTGAGATTCTTGTCACACATACTTACTTGATCACAGGGTATCTATCTTTCTCTAGAACATTCTGGGGTTCAGAAGAACCACACTGATCTTTTTGATCACTAAGAATACAGTCATCTGCCAGAAACCCTGGCATGCAATAAAAGATTTTGGCTAGGCTTGGAGTGCACACCTTTAATACCAGCACTGTGGAGGCAGAGGCAGACAGATCTCTGTGAGTTTAGGGCCAACCTGGTCTATAGAGTGAGTTTCAAGGCAGCCAAGGCGACATAGACCCTGTCTCAAATAAAATAAAATCCTCTAAAAAATAAAAAGAAAGAAAGAAAGAAAGAAAAAAAATCCTTTCTCCATTTTGCCACTTTCAAGTGGTTCTCTGTCCATACATTCCGATATTTTCTCCTAACACTTCCTGAAGTCTTTTGCATTTCTATTTATTTTAATTCCTCTGTATTCTAGGAATCAAGTAGTCTATTATCTTTTTCCATCAGGGAAAGGGATAAAGTGAAGGAAAGATGCCAAATGATTTCCTTAAACCCCTACAATCAATATTCACCCATCTGTCACTGTCAATGAAAGGAAGAGTGAATGATTGACAATTGGTGACAGGCTCTTTTCCAACCACTGGGGATAGGAAAAGGCAGTGAGATGGGTGAGGGCTCTACTTTCATGGAGCTGATGTTCAGGTGAGGGAACAGGTAGTCCTTCTACTCTGTGACAGGGTCGCCAGCTGCCCACTGTGTGCACCAGGTTAGCTGGCCTGTGGGCTCCCAGATATTCATTCTTCCTTCTGTTGCTGCCACTGTGTGCACCAGGGGGTTCACGTTTGGTTTTCAGCCTCCAATCTTGTTAGAGGAGCCCCAGAGTTTATAGATTTGTACTACTATGCTCAGCCTTGTGTGACTTCTGGGGAGCTGCTTGCCTGATAGGTGTTTTACCCACTGACCCATCTCTCCAGGCTCCAGAACTGGGTTTGTTTTCCTGCTGAGACAGTGGGCCAGGAAAGAAGACTTCTGTGTTTCCTGGTGAAGTTGATAGCCTTCCTTCCCCACTGTGGCTTGGTGGACCATCCATGTTCAGCTCAAATCTCACCCTGGCAACACTGTTCTTACCTGTCAGATTTGCTTTTGGCCCTTCAGTTCTTCTGTCTGTATTATCCTGTCCTGAGCCAGTTAGCACTCAGCACGCAAGTGCTTTCAGGTGGCTTATCACAGGAATGTGGTATTTGGGGCTTTCAGTTTCAGAGGATGAGTCCAGGACCATCATGACAGGGAGCATGGTGGCATGCAGGCAGGGATGGAAGGAGACATGATACTGGAGCAGAAGCGGAGAGTTATCTCCAGGCACCAGACAGAAAGACTGGGCATGGCATGGTTTTTGAAAATTCAAAGCCCACCCTTAGTAGCACACCTCCTCCAGCAAGGCCCCTCCTCCTAATCCTTCCCTAACAGTTCTACCAGCTAAGGACCAAACATTCAAATACATGAGCCTTTGAGGGCCATTCTCATTCAAACCACAAGGCCCAAGTGATTCTTTTTGCTTTTTGAGGAACTGTTCTTCTAAGGCCAAATATCTCAGGCCTTTTTGATCAAGGTCTTCTCCATTTCCTTCAAGATGTCCCAGTTTTTAACTCATTGACTCTATGTGACTGGTCTGTCTGTATTCTCACAGCTGGAAGAACAGAGGTGCCTCTGGTTTTGTTCATGGTCCCGTACCCAGTGTGTGTGGAAACACCCCTTGACAAGTGTTAGAATCCACAACAGAGTGCTGCTCCGGCCACAATACCTGCAGCTGCCCCTTCCCTCTGCCTAGCCATATAGGCTCCCTATTAAGAGCACCGTATGCAAATCTCCAGCTAACAGATCTCCAAGTGCCTGCATTCAGGAAAAGATGTTTTCAGGCTTAGACATTAGAATTAAAGAATGAGGTGGTTACTCATGTCCCATACATTCTCTTCACCCCTTTTCCTGCCATCTGTGGGGGAAATCAGAGACCCTGGCTACAGGCTTATGCAGAGATTTTCCTCTTTCCTACGGGAAGGGACCCCAACTCTACTATGTGGGCCTGATTCCTCTTCAGGGCTCCTGCCATGTTGTCCACCTATAGCACTGAGGCCTGAAATCTCCTCAGAACCCCTGACATGTGTTGTCTGTCTGTCCATTCATAGCATTAATTACTCTTACCTTAAGCTTATCACTAACATTCTGTCTCAGAGTCCTTGAGTACTACACTTGGGATGTTCAAAAGGCAGCACGTATAGCCCTAGGTGTTCCAGGTGTCAGCGTAGAGGAGCCTTGGGAATGGACTGCTTCAGAAACCAAGCATGCATGGAGTTAGTTCTTCCAGATACTTCCCTTCTCTTAAGGACAAGCTGTTTCCCTTAAGGGTAGCATTGTTCTTGGAAGAAGACCCTTAAGGGCTGATTCATTGGTACTCAGGACACTTGAGTGTTCCTTCTTGAACAGCTGAGCGGGAGGCAAAGCAGTGTGCCCAACTGTCAGAAATAATTAGCAGCCAGCAGCACCACGGGTCCCCCAGCATATGGGGTGACATATGTGTATTTACATATATACATTGCCTAATCGATAGTTCCAGTGCAAACATAAAAACTCAGGAACATGGCTGTGATTTAAGGGACTTTGATGGAGTTTCATTCCTTAAAGAAAATCAGCGTTAAGTGTGTGTAAGCTGCAGACTTTAGAAAAACCAAAGCTAACAATAATGTTGAATATCAATCCTACTCTAGAAATACATAACCCTCCTTTTCCAGATCAGCTGTTTTTAGCATCTCCTCTGGAAACAGCCTGGAAGGGCTTGAGAATCTACTTGCATTTGTGGCTTTTGCTTGTCTGTCTCCTTATAAGCCCACAGGCCAACGGTGAGGAAGACCTCTGGAATGCTGTTTCCAGAGAATATTAACTGGTTGGGGTGGGGAGTCAGACTCACCCTGGATGTGGGTGGCATCATAACATGGGCTGGGGCCTGGGATGGAATAAAGGAGGAAAAAGGAGATAGCTAGCTTGGCACCATCAATCATGTCTCTCATTCCATAATCTGCTCAAATGAACAAGCCCTTGCCTCCATGCCTTTCCCCAATAGACTGTCCCCTTACACCAAGAACCCAAGCAACCCTCCCTCCCTTAGGTTGCTTTTGACAGATATTGGTCACAGCAACAAGACTGGTAACACACACACCCTAACCTAGTTATGGTAACGTGTGGGTACAGCTTCGGGAAATCTATTGCTTTCTTGATAAAAAAACAACAAACAAACAAACAAACAAACAAAAGACTCAGCTTTGCCCTCTGTCTGCCCTTCTCTACCCTGAATTCAGATCCCACTCTAGAGGCAGGAGGGCTGTTCTATTAGGCAGCGATGTTGGCATTCTGCCTATAAATCCCTACCACTCACCATCCCTTCAATCACCATAGACTTCCTACTGACAGACTTGAGCATTCACCAGGGTCAGGTGGGATCAAATACCAGGGTGTTAAGAGACTTTGTGAATAGCTTATAACTAACAATAGATACTTTGGAGGGCAAATATCCCAGCTTGCTGGCCTTTGGCCTAGACAACTCTAGATGTGAGTGTCCCCAGGAAGACTGAATACCAGGTGCCCATAGAAGTATCCCTCTCCAAAGCCTTCCTGTATTGGCTTCCTTATGTCTCACTTCCCTGCATTTCTACAATCATCTCCAAAATAAACTGATTTCACAAAAGTTGTCTCAGGAGCTCCTTCTAGAATTCAACTGTGATATCTTGTGACTATGAGAATGAAAGCCACATGCAAGAACGGAGAAGAGTCTAGAAGCAAAGTCCTCAGTAGCTGGCCTGAGTCCTTGCATCAGCCTTGAATTGCTTGTGCTGGAATTGAGAAACAGTTTGCTTTTGGTAGGCTACCACCCCCAGGTTGCCTCAGCACATAGCCAGATACAACTCTGAGAAGTGTAAGGAACTTATGGCTGACACGTGTATCACTTGGACATGACCAACAGTGCTGATGCAGCCCTTGCTCTATATACCGTGCTAGGCAACTCATGTTTCCTTATGCTGCTCCAGCTAATCCTAGTGTGGATTCTTCAGCCAAGTAGGCATCATTAACTCATCATCAAGCCTGGCCAGCAAATGCTGAAGTGTGTGGTGGAATTCCATGCTTAATTTAAATTTGCTCCTTTTTAAAGTTAATTAACGTCAAATTCCACACACCATCCTTGACTATGAAGTCAGTGGTGGCATTAGGATCATGTACTTTGCCAGTAAAAAGTTGGCTGGCTTTTCACTCCGGAGCCTGTTGCACTTAATGGGCTGTATGTTCCACCCTTGCCTTTCTCCTTTTTTTGCTGGGTTCCATCACCAGAACTAACACCACACTTCTTCCAGAGCCAATGCTCCCAGCTGCTGAAGCTCATTAACAAGACACACTGGGAATATACACCAGGCCTCTGACTCTTGGGTAGCTTATGGTACCACACAGATTAGGAGAATATTGTATTGAAACAATCACACTGCATTCAAATACATTCTTGTTTATTTATAATCATCAGGATCAAACTTCAGGGGCTGGAGAGATGGCTAAGCTATTAAGAGTACTTGCTGCTTTTGTAGAGGACCTGGATTTGGTTCCCAGCCATCTACATGGTGGCTCACAACCATTCATAGCTCCAGTTCCAAAGTATCAACACTTCTGACCTCTTTGGGCACCAGGCATGCGCTTGGAGCACAGACAGACATATAAAGCAAACACTCATACGCACAAAATAAATCTGAAAAAAAGATCAAACTGGATCATATATGAGAAGTCCACTCTGTGGATTCAAGTATATACTCCATTTAATAATATACATCATTCAACTCTGACTTTTTAAATGAAAGTTTTATTAAAATAATTGTTGAGATACAAGTACAATCAAACAACACTCATTCCCTTTTGTGTGACAGGCCCAAAAGCACCCAGAGGTTTTTCATGAGGCTGAGTGTTGTCATGTTTCTGCCTAGGGGAGAGGAATGTGGCTCTGGAACAAGGATATGTTAGAGTTACAATGGCTGGTGTGGGGATGAGGCCAGCACTGTGCTGAGCAAGGTTCTAGACAGCGTGCGTGCAGCCTCCTGGGTCAGTCAGGAATCCAGCTTAGTCTGCTGTAGTGTGGAAACTACATGTAGTGTATAGAAAGCATTGGCCCACGGGCTCCTGAGATTTGGGAACTGATGAGGAAGTGGCATGCAGTTGGGGATCTGACCTTTAGCACGTGGAAGGGAGGCGAAGGGGCTTTCTCACAATTGTCCCAGAATCAGCAGTCCTTACCATGTTTATATCAATGTGTAGTGGATAGGAAACAGACAAGCTCATTGGGCTTGACTCAAGGCCTAAAAGGCAGGCATAGTAACACATACTTGTAACCCTAGCATTTGTGAGGCAGAAGCAAGATTGCTCCAAGTTCAAGGCTAGCCTAGGCTACATACTGAGACAAAGGCAGATGAAGGCTGACATGGCAGTGCATGTGTGCTTCTAGTATCCAGGAGACTTGAGACTGGAAGATAACATGTTCAAAGCCAGGTTGGACAGTATGGCAAGACCTGCTTTTTAAAAAATATTTAAGCCATATTAGATATGGCTTTGAGAACTGGGGTTACCAAACTGTTATAAACACAACAGGGCATCAACTCAAAAGTGCATGTGTGGAAGGAGTATATGAAGATGCTGAAATGGCAACTTTTGGTAGATTTATTTGATGAAGCCACTATTTAATTCTGTAAGGACACTGAAGTTCATTAAATGACAATACAGAATTCACAATATGGCAGCAAACCTATTTTAGACACATTTTGCTGCTCAAAGGCATTTAAAAACAAAACAAAACAAAACCTATAAAATTCAGCCAGACAGAAAGATACTGTTACCAGCTGGTAGCAGACTTTCGGACTGTGGTCTTAAGTTCCTAAGGTTAAAAAAAAGCTTACAAACAGATGAGACTGTTAAATCCATTTGGTTTGATTAGATATAGAAAATATTAACAGTTGTCCTCTTCACTGTGAAAAGTAGCTTTTACAAGTCCGCCACTTCTCCTGTGTTTTCCCTATTTTGACAGAACTTGGAAGGCTCGAAGCAGGGGAGTTGCATTGGCCACTGGTTAGGATAACACTGGATCAAGTCCAGGCTTAGTGCACGCAGGAAAACTGACCCCCCCCCCCAAATACATGCCTACTGGTTAGCTTTTTGAGACAGCATCTTGTTAGATAGCTCAGGCTAGCTTAGTTCTTGCAATCCTTCTGCCCCTGCCTCCCAGGTGCTGGGACTCCAGCTGTGTTCCATTACATTGAGTGTCTGTTTTATGTTTCTGTGATGACTGACCTGTATGGTAGAGTGGCCTGTATGGATTCCGTAAACTTACCTGTTTTGATATTTTTCATTTTGCAAAGTATCATTTTCTGAAACTCTGGTCATTAAATATGTCTACCTTAAAGTTCAAGACATTACTGTCCCTTCTAGGAACATGTGGGGGTAAAACTAGTATTTAAGGCAACAGATTTCACTTTAAGAAGTGACCCAAATCTTGCTTTATCAGGCGAGGGACTGCAGATCTGAAGGAAATTCAGGAGACTGACCCCACAGAAGAGATTTTAAAAAATTTACTATGTCCAGAGAACAGTAGGAAGGGAAAACATATTCTGTAACTTAGGGTATGTGTTAGAGCCCTTATTCCACAGCCAAATGTATGGAAACTGCTTTCCTTAAAGAAACTCACATCTCTGAGCCAAGGCAAGCTTTTTGGTTGAAAGATTGGTAGCTTTTGTTTGGCTCTGGAGGTTTCCATGGAAACAGCCTGAGAGACAGAAAAGGCAGCATTACCATATTATCCATATGCCACTTGATAAGACAGCACACTGATTCGTTCATTGTCCAGAGCGGAGGTATCTGGTGAGCCTGACAAAGGCAGGCACTGAGCTTACTGGTTACACTTTGAATTTCCTGCTGTCTTCTGTTTGACACTTTAAATTAAAGTCCGATGAACACCTCCTCTGCACATTTCCCTCAGGACCCTCTAGTCAAGCAAATCTCCCACAACCAGAAGCCAAATGAAGTGAAGCATTGCACTGAGCTCCATGGCCACGATGTTAAAATTCTATGGCATGAGCTTCCTGCAGCTGAGGAAATGATTGTGGAGACTATTTACAATCTGTCATGTCACTCTCAGCCAGCGGGAAGGACCAGCTTCAGTGCTTATTGTACCCGGATGAGGCGGGCAGCACCACCACTTGTCATTTCCCCCCTTAGGTCTGGATTGCCTGTTTTAATATAACAACACACTGAGCACAATGATCTCATCTGATTTCAGGTAGGTGCTTTGAGAAAGGCTACAAAAGAGCCCTCACTCAAAAGGATGTATCCGAAGAACCAAAATACCAACAACAGTGAGTCTCAACAAGACAAGAGAGGCGTTATCACCTTTAGCACCAGGTTGAGGAACACAGGGGGCAGGAGTGCTGCTGGGCACTGATTCTGCAGTTCTAGACCTACACAGAGCCCACCTGGGAATTTAGTACATCTAAAAAGACAAGGCCTGAGACATTATTAAAAAGTATCAAAATTGATAATTTTCCAGAGAGGTGACTTGACATAGTTCTTGCTCACAAAACACTGAAAACATTTTCCCTTGGGGACATCAAGGCCAGCCTCGATGGACTAAAGGTCTCGGTAAGCTAAAAAGACAGGATGTACTCCCAAGAAGAATACATTTCTCATGGAGTGGTTTTTTTCTTCTTCTCTTCCTCCCCCTACTTCTTCTTCTTCTTTTTTTTTAAGTCAAGGTTTCTCTGTGTAGCCCTAGCTATCCTGGATTTGCTCCACAGACTGGGAACTCATAGGCCTGGAACTCAGGGATCTGCCTATCCCTGCCTCCTGAGTGCTGGAATTAAAGGCATGTACTACCACGCCCAACGAGTGATTTTCTAATTGAAATTTACTTTCTGGATCTGTGTAACAGTGGTGCCTCACTTAAAAGATCTGCACCAGCACGTGTTCTTTCCCTAGGGCAGAGCATCTCTATGTCTGGCATTGGTGCAGACAACTAGAGTGCAGAATAAAGTCTCAAAGGAGGGACCAAAGGTCTAGTGAAAGGCTGACTTACAAGTGCAATAGGTAAGAAGTTTTGGTTGAAGTCTCAACTCAGTGAGAACTAATCACTGATTCCACTGATGGGGAAACTCAGGCTGCAATGTGTCACATATGAGCCAAAGAAAAACTGTGACCAGAAGTCTTACTCAGGCCCAGGCACCTTTCAATCTTAACACACATCACTCTAGCAACCTTAAGGAAAATGACCAAATATCAGAAAAATGTTGCCCTTTCACAATGACTTTGGCAATTCATGCTGTGGTATGCTTAAGGTTAAAGGGAAGACCCTGGTCATTTTATAACAATGTTAAGTCCTCATAGCAGGCTCTTTTCCTGAGCACTTGCAAACTGTCAATTGTCACATGCTCACTCTCTGTGGTGAATGCTGCCCTCAGAAGATGCAGGGTCACTGGGTGGGCTGAAATGACTACTGTCTTGAGAATCTGTCCCAATGCTTTTGGTCTCTGACTGAAGGTGGACAGACACCTGTACTGCTATCTCCTGTCCTTGTTCACTTAGAGAGCCATCATCTGAGTCTCCACCAGGCGAGTTACTTCGGTCTAGCTCTGGGTTAATCACATAGATGCCACTTTGAGCATCCAATGCAGGTCTCTCTTTAATTCTCTCTCCCATGTCATCAGGGTCATCCACTCGCACAGCCTCAAACATTTCCTCAACAAAGGCCCGGCAGTTCAGAATAAGGGGCGGGAGAGGGACACTTCTGGCCAGTTCCTCAATATAGCGGGCAAACTCCATGGTCTTAAACTGTGTGACCTTGGCAAGCTCAAGGGTTTTGGCAGAGGTAATGATGGGGATACGCTTTGCAATCTCAAAGGCCTTCTGGAGTTTCTCAGCCCCCTCAGTCCTGAAGAACTCATTGATGGCCTTCTCAGTCTTGCGGAGATGGGTGCTCATCAGGCACAGCCGAGTGACATTCAGGATAAGTGTGATTGTGAAGGCGATCAGGCAGACAACCATATAGTAGACGCTCATGTCTCCAGAGGTGAAGATCACACGGAGGGTGACTGAGTAGGAGGCACGAGTTGGAGAAGTGATGATACACGTATAGAGCCCACGGTCATCAAAGGCTACGTTGGTGATATTTAGGAAGTTACTAGAAACCAACCATTTTCCACCTAATAAATCCAACAGAAATGAAAAAAAATTACAGAAAAGACCTAATTTGCCTTTTCATGAATTTACTGTAGCTTGTCTGTTAGGTCCTACTGTTTAAATCATGTTAAAAAATAGAAAGAAAGAAGAAAAGGAAGGAAAGAAGGCAGGTAGGCAAGCAGATTGTCACATCTGGCTAGGATTCTATCAGCATAAAACAAGCAATGAAAATTGATCTTTCTGAGCATCCTAAGGCCAGCATTTCTTTCTCACTGCCAGACACCAAGCCTATCAGAGAGACAGGTATATCCACACAGAACCAAAAGACCAACCTTTCAAAGACATGGTCATCCATGTGAGTCTACACCATGCTGCTACCTATACATTTTTACACATGAAAAGAACATGTCTCAGAAGTATAGAGACATATTTATTTGTGGGGTGATGGGCTATACACTTTTATTGAAATGTGCTTACTTTTTTATCATGAACTCATATGATAAGGTACAAAAGTTACTTTTTAAAATGCATCTAGAATGGCCCAGAGATAGTTCAGTGGGTAAAGGTCCTCCTCACCAAGCCTGGGAATCTGTAGCTATCGAGCTGAGCAGCAACATGCTTTCATTGCTCTCTGCTTCTTGATTACAGATGTAGTATGTCCAATCTGTTTTGAGCTACTGACACTGGCTTCCCTGCAATGACAGACTGTAGCCTGGAACTGTGAGCTAAAACCCTTTCTTCCTAAGCTCCTTTTGTCAGGGTATTTTATTACAGCAACTGGAAAAGAGTCTAAGATCTTTTTGTGTGTGGCAGTGGAGATCTAACCCATATTTGCCAGGAGAGGACTTACCAACCACTGAGACATACTCCACCAGTTAGTGTATGGGTATGAGAAGAGAAGAGGACTTGTCTCTTCTGCTTTAACTTAAAATGAAGAATGCATCCCCTCTATGTTTTAAGAGGTAATACTGTCAATCTTGATAACTGCTTCCCAAAAGTTTAGCTTTTCTTTGATATCTTTCTTAAAAACAAAATAATTATAATTATTTTGTTCTTTTTGATATGTATAATGATTTAGAACTTAACCCATATCCGCTACCCTCATGCTGGGGATCATACCCAGGGCCTTGTGCATTCTAGAAAAGTGCTCAACCACTGCTGTATCCCTAACCCCCTATGGAGCTAGTCTCCTTGACATCTTATCTTGGAGAATTCTTGCTCAGCATGTCATAACCCCTAAGAGCAGGGTTGAGTCACCTGCTGATCACACCTTATAGGATTACCTTTACTGTGCAGCTGCCGTCCTTTTGAGTTGTACCACTGGACTTCACCATACTGATCCACCGTGAGAAGACACTCCAGAGAAACATTTGTTCCCTCTTTGGCTATAACGACATCATCACCTGAGTAGGAACCTGCTGAGAATTCAAAGCTTGGGAGAAATGATGTATTGTAAGAACTCTGATTCGCTCCCAGTGGAGCCACATCTTCCAAAACCAGAGCATCTGGCACAAGAGTAACCACCAGTAAGATGGACAGGCAGTGATGCAGCTTCATGGGAAAATCAAAAGCAGTCCTGTTTAGACTTGAAAAACTCAAACGTGGCTATGCTGAACAGGATCGCAGTGAATGACTTGTTGCTGGCAGAAAAGTTTTCCAAAGAAGTGGTCCAAAGTGTTCTGAGGCTTTCAAAATTAAAAGATGAATATGGAGGCCAGCCTAAAAGAAAGCCACATAGTGTTTACCCAACAGAGACTCACCATGGGATAAAATTGAAACAAATAGACATAAAATCAATTAAACAATGCTGAGCCAGGCATCAGCAGTCTTAGAATGGAGCCAAACCTTGCTGCCAGTGCCCCCACTGTGGCAAGCAGCTTTCTCTGGGCTTCCACTTTCTCATCTGCTCACTGAGAAGAAGGATGAGCGACTCTCTAAGGATGCTTCTGGTTCTAAATTCAAGTGATTCCATTTCATTTAGAAAATTCTACACAACATGGAGTCAATGAGAGCTGGAATATAGTTTAATGATCTTTTATTTCAACCTGCACCACTACCATATGCTAGTGTAAAGCAACTGCTATGTCTTACTCATTACTACAGAGATCAAAATCTATATAATTCAACTACTTATGTAGATCAAACAAATAATTCAGGGACATCTGAGGTAAAATCTGGTCTTGTTAGGAAAAAAAGATATACTGTGTGACCTACATAAGAGAGATACTGACTTTGGAGGCTATACAACCTCCCTCTCAGAATGCTATATAAAAACCAAACCAAACCAAAACAACCAAAACCCCATAGCATCTTCTTTACAATTAAGAGCCAAAAGAGTATATTTAATAGTATGTACAGAAATCTATTTCTAGATTGAAGTCTAACAAAATTGACATCTTAAGTGTGCAGTTGGTAGAAGCACAAATAGAAAATTACAAGGAATAACTATTAAGACAGATTTGGAAGAATAAAAAGCAAAATAAAAGTCTAGTCTGTGTTCAGATGTTTAGGATTTTCTTCTTGCTAATTTGATTCCCACTTTAAACCACCAACTCACAAGGAGAATGTCAATTCATACTTCTATAAATATGTGGTGAAACGTTCTGCTTTATTTCTTCTCAAAGTCCAAGGTAATTAGCTTTGAGGATGACATTTATCTCCTTTTATACTCACAGGAAGGCTGCTTGATCATAGAACATAAAAACCAATGGGTCATTGTATTTGCCATTAAACCTTCAAAGTCTGAATTACAAGTTTTAAAATGTCATTTAATTTTCATTAAGCTCTTAAAGGATTGGATGAACAATGACAATAAAAAAATCTCAATCTTTAAAATTTAGGGATAGACTATTTAGAACAAAACAAAAGCTTTGTCAGACTTTGGCTCTACAGAATATGTTAAACATGTGTTTACTTCCATTTCCTCATAAAAACCTACTAAGATGACACTGAAGGAAACAGCACTGAAGGAAACAGCCTTGGGCATTTAATAAACAATTTAGCTTACTTTATAAACTTCACAGTGATGACTTGTTAGGATTATGCCAAAAGTCAATGGGAACTGACAGGCACCAACAATGAAAGACTGATGAGGACCAGAAGCCAGGCCTTGTGCTAGTATAAGCTTCAAGTTCTTGGCCACTGAAGATGAACAATATCTGACAGATAAGATTTTGTTCTACACTAGCAGTCCTCATGGTCGGTATTTAAGCTTTCCCTGGGACTTTGACAGGAAGTTCCCCAGGTTCATCTGAATCAAATAATTGTGAAACATCATTCACTCCCATTACCATGTTCTTTACTGTCTGCTAAGGCAAAACCTTTAAATCCACTCATTCTCTTTTTGTGTATTTATTTTAAAAGAGACCTGTACACCACTTCTGTGGATAAAATCACCTGTATAGCCAAGTATAAAAATGTCTCACTTCAGTTACTGTCACCTGCTTCAAGCTCAGAACTGTATCCACATTATCTTTGTAGCCTTGTGGTGTGAGGACTGCTGACACGAGTCCTTGTGAGGCCAGTCATTGCCCAGTGCTGTGTCAGAGGAAGGTCTGTTCCCATGCTGGTTTTTTCCTCTCGATGCCTTGATCCTGCAGCCCATTTCACAAGTGAGCTATGTCTCTTGAACTACTCTATTCTTTTTTTTTCTTGGTTTTTTGAGACAGAGTTTCTCTGTGTAGCCCTGGCTGTCCTGGAACTCACTCTGTAGACCAGGCTGGTCTCGAACTCAGAAATCCACCTGCCCCTGCCTCCCAAGTGCTGGGATTAAAGGCGTGTGCCACCACTGCCCAGCGAACTACTCTATTCTTTGACCTCTTTAATTCTTGATATTGGACAAGTATCTCTCTTATCTATCCCAGTCATTACAACCTCGAGTCCATCTCTGATTTCATGCCAGAACCAAGAGTCCAACCCAGTCTCTTTCCCTCCAGAATCAGAATCCAGCACTCTTTGCCTTCTGAGTTTGGTTGAGATATACTCACCACTACAACTTGTGGCTCTTTCCTGTACCTCTTGACTAGTGACCTCTCTGCTTATTGCTCATGCCTTGGCCTCCTACTTGAGCAGTTCCATTCTTGATCTGCTCATCCCTTGGGTCTACTGCACTGTTTACTTTCTTGGGGAGGCTTTCTACAGTGTGCACTGTTCCACATTTTGAGTCTTCCTGCATTTCTGCCTTAGGTAGCATCAATGTATATCCTTTGACAGGCTCGAACCTTGAATGTGCTCACTAGAAACCTGAATAGATGAGACTGTGGCTTTCTATGTTGAAACTCTGCTGGTAAAGGTAGAGAGGCTAGGAGGAGATAAGCAGAATTGGTACAGACTAGAGCTGTGGAGAGCTACTTGATTTGGCTTTTGTTTTCTCTATAAACATGGTGGGTGTCCATCTCAGAGCCTGAAGCTGTACTTCTGGAGTGAGTAACACTGTGTTAGTGTTTTTATTCTCAAGTGTACAAGCATTCTTCAAACAGACTTGCAACCTCTTCATTACCAGGTACTAAATCGAAAGTCAAAGCAAAAAAAAAAAAAAAAAAAAAAAAAAATCACCAAATTCAGGTCAAATTCATTTAAGTAATAATCAGTGTCTAGAGAGCTTTAAAAATACAGATCTAGGGGCTAGAGAGATGCTTCAGTGGTTAAGAGCACTCACTGACTCTCTTCCAGAGGTTCTGAGTTCAGTTCCCAGCAACCACATGGTGGCTCACAACCATCTGTAATGGGATCCAATGCCCTCTTCTGGTGTGTCTGAAGACAGCTACAGTGGACTCACATATATAAAATAAATAAACCTGGGGCTGGAAAGATGGCTCAGCAGTTAAGAGCACTGACTGCTCTTCCAAAGGTCCTGAGTTCAATTCCCAGCAACCACATGGTGGCTCACAACCATCTGTAATGGTATCTGATGTATCTTCTGGTGTATCTGAAGACAGCAACAGTCTACTCACATATATAAAATAAATAAATCTTAAAAAACAAACCACAACAGATCTGATGTGGGCTTAGATTAGCATTCTGGGTAATTCTGAGGCAAGGGTCCCTGGGCTGACATCTGGCAGCACCAACATAGTTCCTCTTCTTGACAGTCCTGATAATGCTCTAGACTGCTGGAACACTTCTTACCACAGAGCTGATCTGTCACATTCCATTCTGGTCCTGGCTTCCTCTACACTGTACAACTGATCGCCTGCAATCTGATAAAGCCAGGGTGGCAGAGGTTCAGAGTGCAGACATGATTGAGCTTGTTTCCTGGATGGACATTCAAGCCTGGATTCTAACCAGCCCTGTAGTTTTACAAAGGACTTAAAAGACTTGTGTCTTGTCCCCCTCATCTTTAAAGTAGGAAAAACAACAGTACCTATTCTTACATGAGAGTGGCACCTAGAGAAAATCCATGTAAAACATAAGTCTTGCAACAGCACTCACTAAATGCACTCTAGCTATTATTGCTGATGGTTCTTTAGATGCTCTGTTTACATGTACACCATTTGACAGTTACACCATTAAGCACTTTTACTCAGAATACCATAAACTATGTAATATTCTGGGATGGAGAGGTACCATTGCAATTTCAATTTTTAATTCAAAACATCACTTTTCTTAGTTTCACCACAAATCACTCTTTTTCAATAACATCAATCAAAATCTCACATCACCTGTGCCCTGTATTTGTGGCACACAAGCTTCCTTATAATCCACTTATCCCTTTTCAAGCCCTGCCTCTCTCTGCTTGGGTCAATCTCCCAGTTAAGTAAGCTAACTGAAACTTTTGTTCTTGGGATTTAGAATGGAGATATTTGTAGTTTAGGGCCATTTGAGAAGAGTGAGCATCCAGGGTGTTGAGACTGTGGTTCAGCCTACCTACAATGGAAAGCTGAGAGACAGGACAAGAGGGATGGAGAGAAGAGAGAGCCATGAGAAGACTGAAGAGGAGGTGGAGAAAGAGGCTCATACATGCTGCTTTGGTTCTTACAGAATTCAAGTTTTTGGTACCAATTCAAGTTTTTTTTTTTTCCTTAAAGAAATAAACATCTTTACTTGTTTGTTTGTTAGTTTGCTTTTTCCAAGACAGAGTTTCTCTGTGTATCTCTGGCTGTCCTGGAACTCACTTTGTAGACCAGGCTGGCCTTGAACTCAGATATCCACCGGCTTTCTGCCTGTTTCCTGAGTGCTGGGATTAAGGCATAGGCCACCACTGTCTGGCTCTTTATTTGGTTTTATTCACAATTAAAACCACAAATCATTAAAGCTTATCTTGCAAGCAAGGAAGCAAATGGGGAAAATGGTTAGGTAGAAGAAGATTAATAAGCCTTGTAAGACTAAGATAACCATAGCTGTAGTCACCAGGTGACCCTTGTTATCATGCGTCTTCAACTATTCCCTTTATACTTTGGCAGTGGTTCTCAACCTGCAGGTCAAATGTTCCTTTCACAGGAGTGGCATATCAGATATCCTGTATATCCAAATGTTTATATTACAGTTTATAACAGTAGCAAAATTACAGTTGTAAAGTAGCTACAAAAATAGTTTTATGGTGTGTGTGGGGGGTCACCACAACATGAAGAACTGTATTAAAGGGTCCAAACATTAGGAAAGTTCAGAAACACTACACTATGGGATGTTTTGAGCAGTGCCCTATGATCCACAACTAGTTTTTGTTCTATATTAACACAGTCACTTGTGTGGGCTAGGGGTTCACAAAAACCTTCCTAACAGGGTCTAGAGAAACACCACAGCCACCCTGAAGCTGATCCTATGTCAAAGGGAGCACAGCAGCCTGAACCTTACTTCATGGCAGGAGAAAATCAGATTTGACAACAGCTTTGAGTATCCACTCAGCACAGCCACTTTAGACATGTCACAGGCATATGAACACAAAGGTCTTCTGGTACCAGCCATGAAGAATTAGAATCCACCTGCAGGTAAGAGATGTTGAGCAGTTGGAGACAACAGTGGCAAAAGTCCAAAGTGAAAGCAGGAGGAGAGTGAGGGTTCAGATCCCCATGGCTTATTCCTCATATGAAACCTTCAGTTAGCGTTAGTGGTCTCTGTTACCTGCAACCTAGACTTATCGTCACCATTCCTCTTCCCAAAGCAGTGATGATGGACGTCAGCAACTGTTACTACTTAACTCAAAGCCTGACTTTACATCATCAGTTAAACCTGGAACCTCTCACACGGAAAGGGAGGCAGCCAGTCCTGCCGCTGCTGCTCAGGTGAGTCAGGCCACCCCACACACTCAGGAATTTATGAGCTAGTTTAGAAGCTGGGGGCAGACACAGCTAAGCACATACACACAAGAAGGCATGAGCAGTGCTGGAGGGAGGTGCAGCTGTGCTTCGAACTCACAAGAAAATGAGGATTCACGAATGTTAGGGGTCCCACCCACTTTTAAATCTGGCATTTCCAATACCATGCCTGTTATTGTCAGTGTAGCAGCTGACATGTTAGGATCATGAATAAGCAGAAGATTAGATAATTTTACCCCAGAAAACCATTCTGAATAGTGAGTATTACTTTCAAAGTCAGGAAGAGAAGAGCCTTCGCTGTCATCCCTAGCAGACTGCTTGGCTGCTGTTCCTGCCAACTTTGAGTGAAGAAATATTTCCATTCAGCTCCAATTCTCAACAGAAGCAAATAAGGAAGCAATGTGGCTGACTTCCGTTCCTGTGGCACAGTGTTTAGTTGGCTGTGGAAACTGCCGTTTGCAGAAATCATTCTGGGAAAAGTCAAGGGGGAGAACACTGGTGCCCAGATGGCAATGTTTTTTCACTCCAATTACAGCAGGATACTAATGTCTTATTCCCATAATTAACTGCTCCTTGTTGTATTTACAGTGCAGCCGCTCTGCGCTGCCTTTAGTCACACTTGCAAAGTGGAGGTTCCCTACAAACTGCCACACAGTTGACAAAGTGGCATTCTGAGGTGGCAACGAAGAAAGCAAATGGAGAACAGCTTGTGTGTCCCTACCATCCATTGCAAAGAGCAAACACAAGTTGTGCTGCTTACTGTTTAGTGTTGCCATGGGGAACTGTGACATTGCCAAGTTAGTTCTAGGGCCAAAGAGATGGTCCAGGGGGTAAAGACACCTGCTGAGCAAGCCTGGAGACCTGAGTTCCAACGTGGGACCCACATAGAGGTAAAAGGGAAGAACTGACTCTACAAAGTTGCTCTACCATGGCACGCATGCTGCCTGTTTCCATGTACACACACTAAATGTCTATGTTTGAAGTTACTATTATTCAAACAGAGGTCATCATTTTGAGGGCCATTTACTTAGAAGTTTCTAGTCTATAGTTCCGGTCATTTCCTGAACCCCACTCTACCCCCAGTCATATGGACAATTTCAGGTCAAATGTCAGCGTATTTTCTGGCACAATAAAAAAATCTCTGTATCCATCAATGGTAGTTTGAACAGGTTTGCCTCCCACAGATTCATGTGCTTGAGTACTTGGCCTATAGGGAATGGATAGGAGGTGTGGCCTTGTTGGAGGAAATGTGTCACTGTGGGGGTGGGCTTTGAAGTCTCCTATGCTCAAGCTCCACCCAGTGTGGAATTCCAGTCTCCTGGTTAGATGCAGAACTCTTAGCTCCTCCAGCACCATGCCTGTCTGCATTCTTCCTGCCATGATAATGGACTGAACTTCTGAAACTAAGTCAGACCCAATTAAACATTGTCCTTTATAAGAGTTGCCTTGGTTATGGTATCTCTTCACAGTAATAAAACCCTAAGATATCATCCTTTTTAGAGCTTTGTCTAAGTGCCAGTATCACTCTGACTTGTATCCCTTTTTGGCACAGCAGTGACTAGAAGTGGATGGCACAATATTTGAGAAACAGGCTTAGATTCAGGACCTTCCCACCTCATTTTCTTTCCTCTGTAGTCTGAAACTAGGGAAGAATCTACTGTATCTTTAACTCAGTAGATATAGCCCCTCATGGTAACCCCAGACTTACTTGTCCAACATATATACAGCTTAGAGGGGATCCATAGAAGCCTTCCAATTTTGTGACACCCAAATTACAGGATTATGTAATTTATTGGTCAGAAGAATGGGCTCTGGAGTTACAAGTACCTGGCCCTTGTTCTGAGTGAAGCCCAGGCTAGAAAAGCCTTTGTTTTTACAACTACTAAATGAGTTTAGAAATAGTAACAGTCTTGGAATGTCTGGAAGCATGGATGGAGGTATATTATAAATACATGTTACTGTTATTATTACACCTTTTAGATACTTCCAGTTAGGTCCTACTGTATCTGCCCAGATCCCAGTCCTTTTACCCCATCTGGGTGCAATACTCTAAATCCAATCTAACTGCTTATGATATATCAAAATACTGTCTTTCAAAGAAAAACGAAACCTATTAGGCAACTTCTCACTATTTAGGAGATAAGCTTAAAACTTCAGGTAGCAGCTGTAACTCTCCAGGAGCTCAATATGTAGGAGCAGTGTGCGCATGCACAAACTGCCTGAAGTAGTTGATAATTTGATATGGTCTTTAGCTGCACCTCTATCATTTTCTCTGATGTGCTCTAGGACTCTTAGTTTCCATATCTGGAGGCCAACTCCATAATTATCCCTTTCTTTGCCTAAAATCATACAATGTTTCCAGTTCCCACACAAAGCTTCAGTTATGTGTGTCTTATTCTCCACTGTCTCTAAATTGTCTTCAACTTAACATTCTGGTTCTAGTTGTTCTTTTTGCTTATCATTTCCTTTCCCCATCTTCCCACGAGAAATTAGAGAAATTGTGTTTTTGAGAAAGGTCTCATATAGTCCAGGCTGGCCTCAAATTTTCACTCCAAGGTAAACTTGAGCTCCCCCTCTTGCCTGTATCTCCATCTGCTAAATACTGGGATTACAGACCTGGGCCTGCACTTCCACCTGGAAAATAATCTTTATAGAAATGTCAGTTATCATTTAATGACTTACCATTTTAAAAGAAACTTTTTTTTTTTTGAGAGTTCTTAAATGGAAAGTAGTGATAGCAGTAATCTACTTAAACAAAACTGTTCTTGGTAAGTTTAAGTGTAATGGACTCTAAGACCAAAAATTTTTTACAATTGTTGCTATAATAATAATGGCAATATGTAAAAGACAAGACAGTTATTAGTGGATACACTCCTATACACTTTTCCTTTACAAAATAAAACCAGAAGAAATCCATATTCTGGTTTATTTGTTGGACCAGACATTTTTGTTTGAGAACAGGATGTGGTTACTTAGCTCTGGCTGGACTAGAGTTCACGATGTAGCCAAGGCTAGCCTTGAACTTGCAATTCTACTTCAAAGGAATAGGCATTTAGTAAGGTCGTAGATGATCTCAGCATACCAAAATTTAAATAATTACCACTGAAAGTAAAGAAAAATATTTGAAGGGTTTTAGGAAGTGGCAGTTACATCTGAACACTGATGCAAGGAATTGAATGGAAGAGGGGAATCTGTTTCTTTTTCTTTTTTTCCTTTTGGTGCTAGGATCGAACTCAGGGCCTTGCACATGACAGGCAAATGCACTACCACTTAGCTATACACCAGCACAAGAGCGAGACACTTGAACACAAGTCTTTAGGGTTTCAGGTGTTTCCTCCTCCCCCCATTTTTACAAAATTTTGTTTAATGTCTTCTTGGTTAAACTGCTCAGGGGCAAATAAAGCGACGCACTGCACATTTGAGCAACCCTAAAATTACAAATCAAAACCAAGTCACTCTCCTGCTTAGAAACCTTTAATTACTTCCCACCGAGTTCCAAATTTAAAGTCAAACGCCTTGTCACTGACCTGACAAAGACTCAGTGTCTTGGTCTCTGTTCTCCCTCTCTCCGCGTCGTCTCCCTTTACTATTTATTCAAAAGCTCTACTTCTACTTCCAATAGGCGGGCTTCCTCCTCCTCACTTCCGCACTCAGTTCCGTTCCATCACCACATTTAAACTTCGATTAAAGCACTTAACTACCCTCTCAGATACCGTAGTTTTGATCTGTTTGTGGTCTCCCTTCCCCACCACCTTTGCAGTGAGCAGTGAGCAGCCAGAAGGGCCTGCACTGGATTCTCAGTTGTGTCCCGGGTGTCTCTGGCCCTCTAGCATTCTGTAAATACTTCATGGCGGAACTCCCACCCCCACCCGCAGCCTTCACGGAGGGCAGGCATCCTGGCTTCCTCCGTGTCTAGCTCCAAGCATCCTTTAGCTCTCAGGAAGCTACCTGAGCAGAGTATCTACTCACCTCACTGGAGTCAGCGCCTTCCGCCCCAGCAGATGTTTGACCCGGAAGCACTCCTGGAAGGCGAACCCGCCTCCGTGCGGAGGTCAGGAGTACTTCCGCGACGGTCGGATCGGCGAGCGGGCGGCGGTGGCCGCGGTGAGGGGCGGTGTCGGGGCTTCGGGGCTTCCGGGTGAGGGCGGCGAAGGCTGGGGTCGCCGGGGTCCCAGGTTGAGGGGCTACAGCGCTTCCGGCTATGATTGGTGGTCTTGCGGGCATGAAGGGCTGGAGAGCTTGTTTACCTCAGGCCTGGGGGTGGGACCTGCGTGTAGACGTGCGGAGACGGGAGACTGGCCACGTTAGCCCTGGAGTCTCCGCTGCCTGCTGTCGGGGCTCCTCGTCGCTCAGACCGGGGCTGCAGCATTGACCTCCGGCCAGGCTCTCAGCTAGTCAGCCCTGCCAGCCGCGCTGCCTCCGGGTAAAAGCGGTGGGGACGCCTGTGCTTTGTGCCCCGTGTGCTTTGGGCGTATTTGTATCTCGACTGTGAGGCGCCTTGTTTGACTTCTCCAGTCACCTGGATTGTTCTCCTCCAATCAGGAAAACCCATACCCAGAAAACATTAAATAGTACAATTCCGTATGTCTGGTATGTGTTTAATCTTATTTGCAGGAACGGCGGAGAGGGTCGTCACCACACACACAAATCTTGTCTCCTGGCTCAGCCTAAACGCTTGGCACGCCCTCGATGCTTATTAAAAATCTTTGTTGTGCAAATGAAATAATAGGGACAACCCGAGTTTACGAATTGGAATGTTCTAGTTGCATAAAATTTAAATGAACTTATGCAATATGTATGTTCTATTTGCTTACATAGACCACATCGATGGACTGTTTATTGTATGTTGTAACTCGGAGAAAGAAGAAAAAGGTAGCTCTAAAACAATTTGTATACAGCTGCAAGAACACCTTCTGAACTTCGTGCAAGCATGTTGGTGTCTTTTTGTTAGATCAGCCTTTGGACTGACTGGGGCAGAAATTGCCTTACATATCTTCTCTGTCTCCAGAGCTGGGTACATAGGCAAAAGGTTCTTGCCATGAATAAGTAAATGAGTTATTTTTCTGAGTTGGTTTGCATGGCAATTGGTAATTGTATTTGGAATTGTTTTCCTCCATGAGTTTTTGGGACAGTTTAGTATATCATGTATCCACATAGTCTAGGCAACACAGTCTTAATCCACCTTTCTAATCTGTCACCCTTTGCTTCTTCCCTAATATAGTCATTACTCTAGGTGACTGGATCATGGGTTGCTGACCTTTCTTCTGTGTCGTTTCCATACCCTTTGTTTAGTTACTTTCCTGTTACTGTGATAAGATACTCAGACAAAAACAAGGAAGGCAATCTTATTCTGAGTCACAGTTCACATGTCCACAGTGGCAGGAAGGTCACATAGGAAACAGGCCACATTGCATTCACAGTCTAGAAGCAGAGAGCAGGAGTGCTTGCCATTAGCTCTCTTTTGGCTTTTTATACCTTCCAGCATCCCAGCTTGTGTAATTGTGCCGCCCAGTGTAGGTGGGTGTAGAAGACCCTGTGTTGATGGGTCTTCCCGCACCTGTTAAAGCTCATCAAGACAATCCCTACAGATGTGCCCAGAGGACTCTCTGGTGGTTCTAGGCTTTTTAGTTTGGCAACTGCAGTTGACCATCACACCCTTGAAATTTTTATCTCATTGGCATTTTCTTTTTTTTAAGATTTATTTGTTTATTTTATATGAGTACACTATCACTGTCTTCAGACACACCAGAAGGGGGCATCAGATCCCATTACAGATGGTTGTGAGCCACCGTGTGGTTGCTGGGAGTTGAACTCAGTACCTCTGGAGGAACAGTGTTCTTAACCTCTGAGCCATCTCTCCAGCACCCTCATTAGCATTTTCATTCATTAAAATCGTAAGCATCTTTAAGGTAGACATTACAGATGCATGCATAGTCTAATCGGATTTCTATAGAAGAATAATAGAAGTTTGGAGATAGTAGAGTATGAGTGAATACTGTTCTCATGCAAAAGGATTCAACAGCCATTTGACAGCAGATAGGTCTTACCTACTCAGATGCCCCCTGATGCATTGCCTTTTACAAGGGGACCTAGAAACGTCTTATTTGTTTCTATGGAAGATGAGACTTTAACTGTTAGCAACTAATTAAAAAAAGGTTTAAACAGTGTGGACTGATTAAAAACACCTATAGTTAGCTAACAGGTTTCCAGTTTGTAATCACTGCTGTAGGAACACTTCATGAGTTATTCTCTGATGCTTATACTGTCTTCTCTGTTCTTTCAGTTTTGGTGTGTATGTGTTGAGACAGGGTCTCACTATGTAGCTCCTTCTCTCCTAAGGTCTGCTGTGTAGACCAGGCTGGCCTTGAAATCTCAGAGGTCTGCCTTTGCCTAAAGTGCTGAGATTGAAGGCAAAACACCACCAAGTATTTTTTGTATGTGCTTCAAGCATTGTGCTATATCCCATCCGCCTTTCTTGTAAGATTTTTTTTTAGTGCATTAGAAGCATGATTGCATGAGTTGGATTTATCCTGCACTTAGTGCATACCTGAATGTTTTTGTCAGCATACCTGGTGTGTGTGTTGTATATGTGTGTGTGTTCATTGTTGATAACTGGCTATTCTGGAAACTAGTATTTCTCTTAGTACCAGTGACATGTTGGCTTTAATTGCCAAAGAGCTGTATTCTTGGAAGGGATTGAATTGGATAACTTTGTTATTCCAAAGCTGACCTGAGGGACCAGTGAATGTATTTAGGTGGTAGAGCTCTTGCTTAGCGTGAATGAGGTTCTGAGTTTGATTCAAGCACAGCAGAGTAAATGAAATAAAAAGTGGCATTCAATTATGCTTTGGTTACATCAGATGGTCTACCTATCAAAACAGTATTAGGAATGTTTACAAAGAATATTAAAAAATAGAAAGCAGATCTGATGTGGTTTAAACAGTCTCTGGAAAAATTGAAGTAAGAATGGATGCTTAATGATATAATTTTTGAAAGACAGTCTAGTGAAAGGAAAGATTGATAAACAGGCTTCATCAAAGTGAAACCTTTCTTGGTAAAAGACCCCATGAAAATAATAAAAAGATAGGCATGGTGACTCACGTCTTTTAATTCCAGCACTTGGAAGCCTGAGGCAGGAGGATTGCCATAAGCTAGTGGTCAGCAAAGAGGGAGATCCTGTCTCAAAAGGCAAAATGAAATAAGACAATGTAAATAAGTTTTACAGTGGGATGATACTGAACCTAGAACATTACTCTCAAAACTCAGCAGAAAATGACAAAGCAACCTAACTTAAAAAAAAAAGAGAAGATTTATCTAGATGTTTCTTTGAAGAGAATATTCAGATGGCAAATAAACACGTGAAAAGATGTCAAGTGTCTTTAGTCTTGAGGAAATGAAACAGAAGCCACATAGCTAGCACCACATACTTATAAAAATGGCTCAAAGTAGGGGAGAAAACCTGATCAGAGTGCAGAAATTTTTGGTTATTTGTACTACTCAGGAAAAGATGACAGTTACATATAAAAATAAGCATGGACTTACTATGACCCATATTAATATAGTCTTCATCGTCTATTCCAGAGAAACAGCTTATGTTCACATAAATACCTGTATGTGAACTTTGAATGTTGTTTTGGTTGTACAACAGCCTCATGTTGAAAACTGCAGATTACCTTGAATGGGCAAATACATTGTGATGTACCATCCATCCATCCGTCCATCCATCCATCCATCCATCCATCCATCCATCCATCCATCCCACAATGATGTTACTGAGAAATGGAAAGGGACTTTTGATGTAACCATAGTGGAATGGAGGGACTTAGGCTGAATGAAAAAAGTCACTCCAAGGATAATGCGTATACTTCTGTGTATATGACTTGAAAATGTCAGTGTCAGAAAACAGATCAGTAGTTGGTTGCTATCGGTTGAAAGAAATGTGGGAAGTGTCTGGCTACAGAAAGGATGGCCCAGGTATCGTTAGGATTGAGTTGTGCCTTACCTGTACTGATGCTCAGTAGAGGTAAGTAGTTGACCCTCTGTGTCTTCGATTCAGCATTTGTAGATTTAACTAATCTTAAGTGGAAAACAGTTGTAAAAAGTTTCATCTGTACTAAACCTGTGCAGACTTGTCATTGTTCCCAAGAGAGTTTAAAGTTGATTGCAAAGCATTGCATATGGTGTTAGACATTACAAATGAAGTACGGGTCATGAAACTGAGGATGTGCTCTGGAGATATGCACATGCTGTCCATTTTATAGAAGGGATGTGACCACTGAGACTTTATTGTCTGTAGGATTCTTGCAACACAATTTCCAGTAGATACCAAGGGACAGCTGTGATTGTGGTAACATTTTATGTAGCTAATGTACACATATGGGTACATGGAAAAACTGTAAAATTGGAAGGACACTGCTAAATTGTAACAATGTCAGCTTTTGATGGAGAGGTGGATAGAGGTATATAGGATCTCTTTGTATTGTTGTAGTAGTATATGAATTTGAAACTCTCAAAAACATTAAGCAAATAGTTTATACCAAGAAACCGGTATCAGTAGATTCTTGTTGGGCTTTTGTTTTAGCAGGTGATGTTGTAGTCATGTCAGATAAGGATGCTACAGAGTCTCCAGTGGTAACCGAAGCAGCCTCGATCCTTAAAGATGAGAACTGTGAGCCAGTGGAGAAGCCAGAGAATAAGTCTCAGCCTGTAGTATCTACCCGGAAAAGACCAGAGACCAAACCTTCCAGTGACCTTGAGGCTTCTGAACTTCTTCCTGCTCAGGTTTCACAGGCTATAGCCAAAGTACCATATCTATTAAAATTTGGGGATTTAAAAACACAAGTCTTAAAAGGGATGTGGGATCAACACTAATTTACAATGGCATTTCCTTCTTTTTACAGCCATAAAATGTCAGCTTTCTGATGCAGCAATGCCTTTATCTGGAATTGCATTTGCTGCAGGGTATTTAGGAGCTGCTGATGTTTACCTGTCAGTCCAGCAGGATTTCCTCAAGTCATAGATTTGCTGACCTATGCTTCTCTAATGATTAGATACCTTGTCTGGGCACTTCTGAGTCTCTAACTTTCTGTTTTCTTTTGTCTTGTTTCTCCTCTCACTGGAAAACAACAGGAGACAGCTTCTAAAGATGCACCTCAGACTGGATGGGGTTATTGGGGCAGCTGGGGCAAGTCTCTACTCTCCTCAGCTTCAGCTACGGTAGCTACAGTAGGTGAGACCCTTGATCATTTTCTTATCTTTGTGTGCACTGGGGCTCATGCGATGCTCTATTAGGAAGTTGAAGTCTAGGGATTCATTTAAGCCTACTTTTTAGTAAGTAATAAGTCAGTGGGATTTTTGTTTTGCTTTTGTTTCTTGGTAAGGAGATAACGACAAGGATGCATCTGTCATTAAAATAATGTGTCTTGTGACCATGATTTTAGAAATAAGTAGATTTTATTATTATTTTTTTATTTGTTTCTTCAGTTTTAGTAACACAGCACACAAATGTTATTTATTTATTTATTTATTTATTTATTTTTGGTTGTTGTTAGGACAAGGTATTTCAACTGTCATTGAGAAGGCTGAGACATCTCTTGGGATTCCTAGCCCCACTGAAATTTCAGCTGAAGTCAAGCAAGCAGCAGGTCAGTATATGTGCTTGGGGTTTCCGTTGAAACTGACAGTTAAGTTCATTTTTAGCACTAGCACTTAGTGATAATACTAATCCAGTACCTGACACTTAGGGCACCTTGAGGCCGTATGAGGAAGAGGGTTTGGAATCGTGAGCTCCAGCTGTGTCTCCCATAGCCAGTCATGTGTCTCTTCATTGCACTTTTGCATGGATGAAGTGGTTCAGAGGCCTGTTGAACACTCAGCAGTCAGGCCGCAAGCACAGCATGTGAGAAGAGCTTGCCGTTTTGCTTGATATATATATATATATGTGTGTGTATGTGTGTGTGTGTGTATATATATATATGTGTCCCATCAGTAGAGTTATCTCAGTTTCAGTATGCTTTGGCAAGACAGAACAACTGTAGTGCACTAGCTGGTTTGTTTTCAATTGGGTTTTTATATGAAGACAAGGTTCTATTCTTGTTTGTCTGGATCAGAGGGAAACCTACAGTCACTCATACCCAAAGGACACAGGTATCACTGGGGACCAGGAGAGTTTAAGGCCAGGCTTACTTCTTTTATCCCTCAGAGGCCTTCTTGTTTCTCGCTGTTTTCTTTGCTTATTGCTCATTTTCTCTTGAAGCCAGCTGGCTCCCTTTTGGTCTCCTTCAGCTCCACCTGATCGAGCTCTGGCATACGTGACCATCAGAAATTAGCTGGCTCTAGCTGTTCCCATTAATGAATTCCTTGGACTAAGAATTAGATATAAAGTTAGGTCACTTGACTGCAGTTTAGATACAGCCAGAAGACAAGCTCACCTTATACAAACATGGTCCCACAGGCTTCTACATGTGTAAATTTGAGGCACTGTTCATAGTGACACCTTTTCTTCTCCTCCCCTCCTCTTCCCATCTGTCTCCTCTTCTCTCTTTCCCATTCCCTCTTTCTTCTTCCCTGTTCTCTCTCTCCCCACCCCTTTTCCTCTTGCCTTCTTACCCTGGTTGGCTTTGAAGTCACACAGTCTTCTTGCTTCAGTCCTTCAGGGGCTGGGATCACAGCCCAGAGCTTACACCTGCCATTTCTTATGCTTTCCTAAGGGTCATCAAACTCATCAGATGAGTCACAACTGAATGTGCTCAAAGTCATGAATGAAGAAGAAAGGAAGTAACTTTTTCCCTACCATCTCTCTTTCTTTGAAGAGAGTCAGTTTCTTCTTCCAGCAGTTCCTAGTGTAATTCTCAAAATGGCATTGGTTAAGAATGGAGTCTTGGGCTGGAGAGATGACTCAGCCGCAGGAGTTCTTCCTATATCTCCTGAGGACTGAAGTTTGGTTTGCAGTACCTGTGTTGGGCAGCTCAGCTATAATTCCAACTCCAGGGGATCTGATCCCTTCTTCTGGACTTCAGGGTCCCCTGCACACACATAGTGTCTACTCACACAGACTCACACATACATCTAAAAAATGTAGGGTCTTAATGCTGATGCAGTAGTGGCCAGAAGTAAGAGAAGAGTGGGTTTGGGAGTTAGAAGTGAAATTAGATGTAAACTGTCATCTTCATAACACTGGAGGCTATCTGCTACTCAGGGCCATGGGCCAAGACACGCATTGAAAACCTGAAGTCTTCCACGGTGAGCTCCCTGGTAGGATAGCTGTAGAGTTAACGTCTTTCAAGTGAAGGTGTTATGGTGGGCATCAAAATGTGCAGACAGAAGGGTGTGTTTGTGGGTGCTGGTTCTTTTTGTGTCTCTGAAGATGAGAATGGCTAGTGGGGCTCAGGCTCAAGGGTAACAGTAATTCTACCCAGTGGATGTCCATGGGCTTAGATTGTAGTTCAGTAAGAAAGATAGAACTTTGCCAAATTAGAATAGACTACTTTTTGATAAGAAGTCCTTTCTAACCAGGCTGGCAGAGTCTGCCTGCCTCTGTCTCCTGAGCACTGGGATTAAAAGTGTGTGCTGCCACCACCAGGCTGCTTTGGTCATCTTTTAGGGATCTGTTTTTCTTTAAAAAGGACCATGTTCATCTTTGCTTTTCTTTTGTTTGCAGGTAGTTATGGTGTATGTGGCTTAAATGAATCTTTTAATTTTTTTTTTTGAGACAGGGTTTCTCTGTGTAGCCCTGGCTGTCCTGGAACTCACTCTGTAGACCAGGCTGGCATTAAACTCAGACAGGGTTTCTCTGTGTAGCCCTGGCTGTCCTGGAACTCACTCTGTAGACCAGGCTGGCATTAAACTCAGAAATCTGCCTGCCTCTGCCTCCCAAGTGCTGGAATTAAAGGCGTGCACCACCACCACCTGGCCTTTTAATGTTTCTAAGCTGGGTATAGTGGTACACAACAGTTATTCCAGCAGTCAGGAAGTGGAGGCAGGAGGATAGAGAATCTGAGACCTATCTTTAAACAAAACCAAAAATGTTAATGTACTTGCTTAGACTGAGTTTGGAGTAGCCTTTACTTAAAGGATTTGTTTAAGGCTTGGCTCTTCAGTGAGCTCCATCCATTTCTGCTTGGTAGGTTAGAAGTCAAGTGTCTTAGCCTAGTGTGAGCTCTGGAGATTACTTAGCTTACCTCTCCAAGGCAGTTTTTACCCCGATCCTTGTGGAGTCTCCTTGTGCCTATATACTGAATACCCTGCAGTGCAGTATTCATAGCACAGCACTCAGGCACATGTGTTTCTGTAGAAGCCTAGAATTCTGGGATGATTCCATCTTCTTTGTGTTACAGAGTCCCCTCAGCTCCTGCTGTCTCTCATCTAGGCCTTTTGCTCCTTGTAGTTGGAAAGTTCTGGATAGCAAGCCAATTCAGTCGCAGGTGTCATTTTGTTTCTCTTTTCTGTTGGACCAAAATCTCCTTGTCTGACTTGGAAAATCATTTATTACCTCTCGTGCAGTTTTATAGCTGTCATAGTAGGAGAGCAGGTCCAAGAGCAGTTAGTGCATTGTAACCAGAAACAGAAGCCCTCCTGTAAGAGAGTATTTCAGACTGGGCACTCAGATTATGTGGTAGTTCAGTCTGAACTGTGTGCTGTAGCATGAGGCCCTGACTCCCAGAACCCATGTGAAAAGAGCTGTATTACTACTGTTGGAAAGGCAGAGAGAAGAAGCCGTGTGGGACTTGATGGCCACCTAGCCTAGCTTAATCAGTGAGCCCCAGGTCCCAGGGAGAGAGACTTTTAGAAAAAAAAACTTTCCTAAAGAATATTCAGTGTTGACCTCTGGCTTCCACATACACAAACACATGCCGTACATGTGTACTATACACACATGAACACATAATCACAGCCCTTTGGGAGGGCTATAGGCAAAGTTGACCTATAGGTTTTTAAAGTTAATAAAATGGAACAGAGACATGGACACATTTGCAGTGCAGGTCTGTTTGATGACATCTAATGAGCATCATTTTCTAGGACAAAGTGAGTTGCAGTTTACTTTTAGCTGTGCAGTTTTATGTTTGGATGTTTGGAGACGTAGTTACATTTATGCTGTGTAATGAATAGAACACTGTGATATGTTCTTCCCTGGATCTAATTGGAATATAAGAGTATTTTATTGACCAAAACAGTTCATGTAACTTTTATCCCTAGTCTGTCATTTGCCTGTTTTCCATAGTTTTCCCTTACCTAGAAGTTTGTCTATGAGATCATGCAGTATGTAGTCTGATTTCATATCAGTCATTAGTTTGTTCAAGACTTGATATTATTATTGAAATGGAGTGGCTGAGCAGAGGTGGTGCACGCCTTTAATTCCAGCACTTGGGAGGCAGAGGCAGGAGGATTTCTGAGTTTGAGGCCAGCCTGGTCTACAGAGTGAGTTTCAGGACAGCCAGGGCTACACAGAGAAACCCTGTCTCGAAAAACCAAAAAAAAAAAAAAACCCATAAAAACAAAAACAAAACAAAACAAAACAAAAAAAAGAAAAGGAAAAAGAAAAAAACCCTGCCTACCTTGTCTTTCATTGTAACGTAACAAATGTTTTAAAATACATACAGAAAGAAGCAGTATCTAATTTTTTTTTTTAATATTTTATTTTATGTGTGTTGAGCACACAGTCACTGTCCTCAGATACACCAGAAGAGGGCGTTGGATTCCATTACAAATGGGATGGCTGTGAGCTACCATGTGGTTGCTAGGAATTAAACTCAGGACCTCTGGAAGAGCAGTCAGTGGTCTTAACGGCTGAGCCATCTCTCCAGCCCCAGTGTCTATTTTTTTTTTTTTTTTTTTTTTGGTTTTTCGAGACAGGGTTTCTCTGTGTAGCCCTGGCTGTCCTGAAACTCACTCTGTAGACCAGGCTGGCCTCGAACTCTCGAACTCAGAAATCCGCCTGCCTCTGCCTCCCAAGTGCTGGGATTAAAGGCATGTGCCACCACCGCCTGGCAGTGTCTAATTTTTTAAAAACCACATATTTGTTGTTTGAGCAGTGAATGATCCTTTCTTTAATGTTTCCACGCCTTTTCGGTTTCAGGAGAAACGAATGCTGGTGAGAATGGAAGCTTACTAGTGACTGGGCCATTTGGGATGCTCTCGACCATCTCAACAGCTGTGCAGAGCACGGTGAGAAAAAGTACAGGGAGGGACCTGTGCTGTCGTGATGGGCGTGAGCCAGACAAGTGCAGTGTGAGCTGCAGAGTGACAGGTTATCTTAGGGACTGGCAAGTCTTGGCTTTGTGTCCTTAGGAAGTGGGTCTGCTTTACAAAGTTATTTGTTGGGGCTGGAGAGATGGCTCAGCAGTTAAGAGCACTGGCTACTCTTCCAAAGGTCATGAGTTCAAGTCCCAGCAACCACATGATGGCTTATAACCTTTTGTAATGGGATCTGATTCCCTCTTCTGTCTGTATGAAAACAAAACACTCACATACATAAAATAAAATTTTAAAAAAGTTATTTCTCGTATAACTTCATCTTTAAGCAGGAACGACATGTGATTGTTTTTGATGAACTCTTGCTAAACTCTAGATAATGAGAATGTTTGAAAACTGATAGGGCTCTTAATGTCTTTCCTACTTGAGGGAAGGTGGCTAGTATTTTTTAGTTTGGTTTTTTAACTTAAAAAATTTTTTTTTTGAGACAAGATCTTTAACATTTTGAAATATGGCATGCAATGTAGAATATGACATATATGTTTAGATGAATTTTTATGGCATTCTAATTGTCAACCATAGTAAGAAACCTGTAAGTCCATTGCTTTTCCATCTTGAGGCATGTGTTCTTTCCCCAGCTCAGATAGCCACCGATGGGACTTGTACTATCATGACTTAGTTTTGACCTGCTCTTCTGCTTTGTATAAATGAAGCCATAGATGTACACCCAGTCTTCCACATATTGTGTCTGTAATCCGTCCATGTTGCAGCTTTGCTGTATTCATAGTGTGACTTGGTTACGTTTTATTGATCCACAATTAGTAAATACCAAGCCAGTTTCCAGTGTAAGCTGTTATAGAGTGTTGCATTGCACACTCTTGTACATATCCTCTAGTCCCATCTGTGTCCATTTCCCTTGGGTATGTGTTGTCAGAGGCATATTAGGAGGCGTGGCCTTGTTGGAGTAGGTGTGGCCTTGTTGGAGGAAGTGTGTCACTGTAGGGGTGCTTCCCACCTTGATGATAATGGAAGGAACCTCAGAACCTATAAGCCAGCCTCAATAAAATGTTGTCCTTTATAAGAGTTGCCTTGGTCATAGTGTCTCCTTACAGCAATGGAAACGCTAAGACTCCTGGGTAAGGCAGCTGCAGCAGGTACTGAGTCTTAGGTTCCCCGAATGGTTCTATCTGTGTGCATTTGGGTGAGCAGTGTGTGCTTGCTTCAGCTGTTCTTTGGGCTGCCTAGTGTTTGGTATTGTTGGCTGCTGCTGCTTCTTTTCCTCCTGGTACTGGGGCTGAGTTTAAGGCCTCACACATGCCAGACAAGTACACTGCCACTAACCTAGCAATGTGTCCCCAGCTGCTTTTACCTTCATTTTGAGGAGGGTTCTTACCATTTGCTCAAACAGGTCTGGAGTTTACTGGATGTACCTTTGGCGTACCTGTATGTTCTCCTCCTTCAGCCTCCTGAGTAGCTGGGACTGCAGGCCTGCATCAACAGCCCCACACTATATAGCCATTCCTGAATGTCAAGTAGTTGTAATGGAAGTTTGCAAAAATTTGTTTTAATGGAATTTTTCGGCTTTCCTAGGGCAAGAGTGTTATCAGTGGGGGTTTGGATGCCTTGGAATTCATTGGGAAGAAGACAATGGATGTCATAGCAGAAGGAGATCCTGGATTTAAAAGAACCAAGGGCCTGATGAACCGGAATTCTACACTGTCACAGGTTCTCCTTCCTTCGCCTGTGCACTTCCTGTTTGTGTTTTTGATTTGATTTTTGCTGATGTTAACTTGGAAACCATGTTAGTGTTACTTTCTTTGGGATCCTTTGGGGTTGTGGGATGGGCAGTGAGCTCTAGTGCATAGAGGAATTCTAGTTGTTTGTCCCTCCGCTTCCCTTTGAGCAGCCTTCTGTCAGCAGAGAAATGCTAAGCCCTGTCAGAGCTGTTAGATTAATGTTTAAACCCCCACAGAACAGCACCTGGTGTCTTGGATGTTATTTACACTGTCTAGCGTCAGGTTCTGTGTGATAACTTCTTCCTGCTGTTCCGAGCTTCTTGGATTTGGACCCTGATGCCAGGATTGAAGGGGCCGTGCTCTGAATGGAGCCGAGCAGCTGTGCTCCCTTCTGCTCTGTAAACTCACTCTTGAGCTCTCATTACTTGCTGCAGTACAACGCTTCAATCTCTTTTTAGGTTTTACGAGAGGCAAAGGATAAAGAAGAACAGTGGCCTTCCAGTGAGGTAACCATGGAAACAGACAAGAAAACTCATTATGGGCTACTCTTTGATGAGTTTCAAGGCCTTTCACATCTAGAAGCTCTGGAGATGCTTTCCCGAGAAAGTGAAATAAAGGTAATTACCAACCCCAAACCCCTCCTGAAAAGTCTACATACAAAGGGATGCTGCAGATGCTTTTCTGTTGTGCACTTGGAAGGTGAGGTGTTTTTCGTGGAGGCTTAGGAGTTTGGAAGTACTCTGCACAGCAAGCAGAAACCAATGTGTGAGCTAAGGTGATGGAAAGGATCACGGGTGATTGTCCTAATTACACAAGAAAGGACAGGGTTAAAGAAGAGCTTTTAATACACTTGTAATTTTCCATTGTCTGTCTGTCTGTCTGACTGTCTGTCTGTCTGTATTTATTTATTTATTTATTTATTTTCTGAAGTCTCTTTGGCTTTAGCTGGCAAAAACCTTACTGACAAGCTGCCAGTTTGCATATAGTTAACTGTTGGCTTTTATTTGGCGCAGGGCTTTTGCTGTTGTTGTTTGTGTTAAGATTTGTTTTATATTGAGACAGGACCTCACTATGTATCCCTAACTGGCCTGGAACTTGCTGTGTAGACTAGGTTGGCCTCAAGTTCACTGAGATCTGCTGTCTGCCTCCTGAGTGGTGGGGTTAAAGGTGGACATATCATACTTGGTTAAGGATTTATTTTTTAGTATTTTTGTATGTATGTCATATGCTGCAAGTACCCATGGATGCTAGGAGGGGATACCGGAGGTTATAGGTGGTAGTGAGCAGCCTAGTGTGGGTGCTGAGATCTGAACTCAGGTCCTCTGGAAGAGAAGCAAGTACTCTTAGCTTCTGAGCCATCTCTCCAGCCCAGTTCAAGACCATATAATTTCTCTTTATAAGCACTAATAGTTTTCAAATATTTGTTACATTAGAAAGTACAGATTCTCCCAAACTTTCTGTAGAAATTAGATTCTTAAGTTAATTTTTTTTTAGTGGTTTATTATTATTTTACGTGCTTTATTATTTTGCTTGTGTGTGTATTTGGGTGAGGGGATCAGATCCTCTGAGTCTGGAGTTATAGACAGTTGTGAGCTGCCCTGTGGGTGCTAGGAATTGAACCCAGGTCCTCTGGAAGAGCAGCTGGTGCTCTTAACCTCTGAGCCATCTCTCCAGTTCCAGAGTTAAAAGTTTTAAGGAATGGGAGTTAGCCATGGTGGCACAAGCCTATAACCCGGTTCTCAGAAGGCTGAGGAAGGAGAGTTGAGAGTTCAAGACTAGTCTGGGCTACATAGTGTGATGCTGCTCCTTCCCTACCCAGAAACACTAATGCTGACTTGTTAGTTTATAATTCATATTTTACTTAACCTGTGAACTCTTCTTTATTTGAGATTTTTTTTCCTACAAATTTTAATTGTCTCATATCCATTTAGGTGAAATCTATCCTTAGTTCTCTGAGTGGAGAAGAACTCCAGACAACCAGACTTGAGCTAGAGCAGCTCAAAGAAGCATTTTCCCTAGCAGAGTTCTGTGAGGAAGAGGAGGAGGAGAGACAAGGTAATGCAGGGTCTACAGCCAGTGCACTGTGTCACAGCCTCTCCATGCTTTCCTCACACTCTCGAGGGCCTGCACGGCCTGCCACTCTTCTAAGAGTAACCTATAGCAGGTCTCTGATTATTGCTTCTGTTAGAGAGTCACTGTATTAGCTTCTTTCCTGTTTGCCTGGTGGTCACTGTTAGCCTTTGTATGTAGTTAGACACTTCATCTGTGCCTTTCCTGCTTTTGTAATCCCTGATTTCATCTTGAAGCATGCAAAGTAGTTGTTATCCAGAAGGTGGTGATCCCTTGTCTTTTTCATGTTTACAGCATGCATATCTGTATGTTTTAGAAAATGTAAATTGTTGAAACTACTCAGTTTTGCAAAACTGTCAGGAAATACGGTTTATGGGTGTTGTGTATTGTAATATAGGTGCATTGTAATAATAAGTCATTGCAACTATCCTTCAAGAAATAACCATCTCTTGGTTTTCTCTGTAGTACTAAGAATTATTCAGTAGGGGCTAGTGAGATGGCTCAGTGGGTGATGCTTGCCATGCAAGTGTAGGGACTGAGTTAGAGTCGCTAGAACTTACGTGAAAGCATGTGCTGTGAAGAGACACCGTGTCCAAGGCAACTCTTATAAAAGAAAGTGTTTAGTTGGGGCTGGCCTACAGTTTCAGAGGTTTACTCCATTATCATCATGGTGAGAAGCATGGCAGCGTGCAGGTAGACATGGTACTGGAGGAGCAGAAAGCTCTACGTCTTGATCCACAGGAAGGAGACTGTGTCACACTGGGCCATAGCTTGAGCATATGAGACCTCAAAGCCTGCCTCCAGTGACACACTTCTTTAACAAGGCCACACTCACTTCAACAAAGCCACACCCACTCCAACAAGGCCACGCCTCCTAACAATGCCACTCCCTATGGGCCATACATTCAAACACATGAGTTTATGGGGTGGGTGGAGGGCATTCATATTTAAACTACCACAGTGTGCACAGTGTGGTAGAGAGCTTCTGTAATCTCTGCACCCTTACAGGGAGAATTCCTGGAAGCTTGCAGGCCAATTAGCCTACTATACTACAGTGAGCAACAAAGACACCTGTCTTAAACTAAGAGAAAGGCAAGAACTCACACCCAAGGTTGTTCTCTGACTTCTACACATGTGTGTCCCTGTCCCCCTTTTTCTTCCTCTCTTCCACTCCCCTCTCCTCCACTTCTCCCCCTACTTCTTCCTCTTTGGCTGGTGAGAGCACACAATCACACACACATATACACACACACACACACACACACAAGATTATTCAAGGGTAATTGTTACTATTATCTGAAAAGTCATTAAAATGTATCTTGCCTTTGCAATAATGCATCCCTGCGTGGTTGGATATTGTCTACCTTAAACACCCTGTCTTGACAATCTAAGTGTAAAACTGTGTAAGAGAATCTTTCTCATTAAGCTAGCTATTAGACATGTCACAAAGATATAAAACAATGACATTGTTTTCAATAATTTTTCCTTTTTTGGAAGATACATTTTTCCTTAAAAGTATGGTTTATTGGAGTTAGCAGTGTAGTTCAGTGGGTAGAGTGCTTACCTGCGCATGTGAACCTCTGGGTTCAGTCCCCACAATCACATAAGATAGGGCATGGTGGCCCATTCCTGTAATCTCTGTACTTGGGAGGTGGAGGCAAGACCTTCTGTTTATTAGCCCTGTTTCCAAAAGTTTGTGTTATTAACAGGTAGTGGGGTTGTTAGCATTTTGTTTGTGTGTGTGCATGTGTGTGCATGTGCATGTGTTGGGGGCATTGTGCCCATATGTGCATGTGTGTGTTTGTGTGTGTGCGTGTGTGTTGGGGCGTTGTGCCCATATGTGCATGTTCTTGTGAGGCCAGAGTTTGATGTTGGGTGCCTTCCTCTGTTGTTTTCCATCTCGTGTTTTTAGACACAATCTCTCAGTGAGTCTGGAGACCCAGACTTTTGTAGGCTGGCTGGCCAGTGAGCCTCCAGTGTCTTTGTGTCCCCGCCTTCCAGCACTGGCATTACAGACACGCGCTGTCATGCCTGGCTCCCTACGTGAGGGCTGCAGATCTGAACACAAGTCCTTGTCCTCACACAGCAGGCGCTTTTCTCAGGAAGCCATCTTTCCAGCCTGGGTTTAGTACTGTTGTCTTTTTTTCTTTTTCTTTTGTATTGAAAATAGATTCTTATACAATATATCTGATTAGAATGCATTTATTATTTTAATGAATAATACTTTAGACATTTAATTTTAATTTTAAATATGTATAACTTGCATTTAAAATAAAAGCTCCTGGGAGGCCACAGAGCTTTATTGGTTTGAGAATTTCTAGATTAATTACGCCAACCGGCAGTGCTTTAAAAGCCTCTGCCATTGCTTTTTAGAGCTGTGCGTTCTTGTTTCCTTCTGCGTGTTTATTTTTTACTTCTGTTGAATGTGGGAAGTTTGCCTCAGACAGCTCTCAGTCTCACTTAATTTTTTCATTTCCAATCTACTATGAGTGGGAAGCCAAATAACTTAACTAATGAGAGCAAAGCAGAGATCCCCGGGACATGATTTGAGGGCCTTTTCTGTGAGAGCCTTTACTTAAGACAGGGATGTTTTCTGTTCTGAGAAGTCAAGCTGGCTTCATCTGTAATGGCTCACTAGTGACAATTTATGTGAAGGTTCAGCTCTTGGTTAGAAATGGTTTTGAATATACATCTTAAAAACTGTCTGGAGATCCTGAGACACTAGTTGTACCCCAAGTGATACAGTTTGAAGTTAGACTAGGGTTCCATGAAGACCTGCCCCTCACAAAGCCGTGTGACCTCTAGAAGAGGCTCATCACAGGACCTTTGTTGCATCTTGGTTAGAGGATGGTCTACTTCCTCTGGTGGTGTTGTGAGGAGTAAATTAAATGTGTTTATAGTCAGACATAGAGTAGGGGCCTAACAGGTGTTCACTGTCATTGTCACTATTTAGAAAATATAGACAGCTAAAAACCTGCATTTGAAAAGCCTCAACAGGAAACCAATAAAATAGCTTTGGTTTTGTGAGAGGCAGGTTCTTCCATTGTTCCTAAGCAGGCCAAGGTAGAGCAGTTCCTATTCATTTGTCAACCCAGTTTAGAATATTTGTACATGGAACAATTAACCATATTTCTTCAATTTAGTCAACATCTAGGCTTTGCACAGTAATTAGAAATTGTTGTGTTCGTATGTATTTATTTATTTTACTGTTCTGAGGGCTTCAAGTTTTCTGAATAGATGGAACAGTCTGTGATATTCCTTCTTACCTTTGCTAGGAAGGAAGAAAACATGGTGATGTGTAATCCTCCTGCCTGACCTGCTTTGCCCCAGCTCTCCTCTGTGATTCTCCTGCCTGCTCTGTCTCTCTGATTTTGGTGGAAAATGCACCAGTGACTTGGTAGTTAATTGTATGTCACTGATGCTGTTAAGACAGAAACTTGGGAATAGCAGGAGGAGACAGTGCAGAGCTCAGCTCCGGATGTCTTCCTTCCCATGGGCCCCTGTGTTTTCTAGGCTTCATTTCAGAGTCCTGGACCCACAGTCTGCCACCCTACCCTACACTTAAACAGTAGTACCATGCTTCCTTTCCACCCATGCATCTAGACAAGTATTTACCATTGAACCACATGCCCAGCAACTACTTCTGTTCTAATGCAGCAACTGTTTGTATAGTCAATTCTGTGTAGCAGAACTTGACAGCAATTTGCCAAACATTTTTACATTATTACATTTGATAGTGTTAGCTTTTTGATCACTCAAACATAATATATTTGAATGCTTATAAATTTAATGTATATACTACCATAATGTTCTGTTACTAACAACCTAAAATATGCCTCAGGGTAGAATTGTTAGGTGTGGTAAACATAGATTCCTGTTCTTTTCCCCTGTGCCATTGGTTATTTTGTAAACTTCTTGGAGTGCCTGTACCCCAGGTGGTTGCAGAGTCCTCCCTTACATCCAGTCACACTTAGTTGGGAAAACCAAATGACTATGGAGGTCAGGTTTTGTGTCCTTTCATGGTAGTTTGTGGCTGGGAGTTGTTTACTGGGATTATGTGAGTGAAGGCTGTATCAGTGAGGCTTTGTATCCCAAAGCCTGTCACACTGAGGATCAGTAAATTATGTTTATTCTCTGCCTTAACTATCCAGAGAGAGAGCAGAAGTACAGTTTAAAGAAAAGAACCAAGATGGTTCCCCTGGAATGCCTCTGGGGATGTTTCTGGGGAAGTGGTAGGCATAGAAGGGAACTAATTATTTGCTCTCATGTAGTGTGGACTTATGATTAAGAGATACTCTTATAGATGTTCATGCTCAAAGATTTTTGTGGTTCAAGATTTATCTTCTGTACTGCTCAGCCAGGACCAGTGGGCAGGATTTAGATGAGAAAGAGAGAAGGCATTGTTGTTTGTTTAGATGTCTAGTTTGCTGTGATCATGGTCCCCATTAGCTTGCATGTTTTGTGTCTCCTTATCCTACTGAGGGATTGCTGTAATAGACACCATGACTAGAAACAACTTGGGGAGGAAAGGGTTTATTTTGCTTACACTTTCAGGTAACAGTTCAGTGCTGAGGGAACTAGGGCAAGAACTCAAACAGGGAAGAAACCTAGAGGTGGCAGCTGATGCAGAAGCCATGGAGGAGTGCTTACTGACTTGCTCCTCATGGCTTGCTCAGCCTGGTTTCCTATAGACCCCAGGACCAGCAGCCCAGGGGTTGGTTGGTACTGCCCACAGTTGGCTGGGCCCTTCTCCATCCATCATTAACTGCTTACCGCCTTGCCTACAGTCTGGTCTTATGGAAACACTGCTCATTTGAGGTTCCTTTCTCTCAGATGACTCAGCTTGGATTAAGTTGACTTAAAACTAGACAGCAGAGGATTCCTGACAGTCTTTCTTGAATGCTTTATATGGCTCTTGGTTCTTAGGAGATGACGAGTTTACCAAGGAGATAACAGAACTGTTTGCTCAGCTTCACGTCTCTTCCCGACCAGAGAAACTGGCCAAGGTATGTTACTCCCTTTTGGGGATTTTCATTATTTTGTTTATAATATTTTAATGGGTAGTCAGGTGTGGTGGCACATACCTGTGATCCCACCACTCAGGAGGCTGAGGCAGGGGGATTGGAAGTTCACAGCCAACTTGGGCTGTATAGCAAGAGCTTATCTTAACTTCCCCACAACACATACTTATAATGAGCATAAGACTGTAATTTTCTGGCCAATGAGATTGCTGGCATGGAGGAAGTATTCTTGATAGTTCTAGAAAAGGATTCTACCAGTTTCTCTGCCTCCTATTCTCTAGGTCAGTGTGCAGAGCCCATGTCTGTCTTCCTAGCATGTGTCCCATCCTGACCTGTTTTTTGGAATACTTTGTTTGAATGCTTCATTGAGCCTGTAGAGTTGGTCTTTTAAAGTTGGCAGTGCTGACTAACCTTTATGGGATCAGAGGTTTGATGGGTGAGGTCTCTGATCATAGATGATGAGGATGGGCCCTGCTTGCATAGAGCCCCAGCTCGGCATTGCTGTGGCCGGACGGTGACTGATGATAACTCTGCTAGTGACCATTTAGAATTTGGGAATGAGAGAGTCCCATGGCTGAGCCATGGTGGTGACAGCTGAGATATCATGTGTTTGGGATGGGTCTTGTCAGAGCTCAGAGGAGGGACGTCACATGTATTCCACTGTCTGCTCATGAGATACTGTTTGTCGTCATGTGCTGCTTTCTGCTCTGTATCCTCTCCCAACTCTGAACAATTCCAGCAGCTGTTAGCAACAGGCACACACTGTTGTCTGGCCATGAGAGCTGCTGGCTGTGTGGAGTCAGCACAGCCATCTTTTCTCCTCCCCAAGCAGGTAAGGAGTGAGAGACACTGGCTTGGGGCAGATAGGGCGTTCCCCAGTGAAGCCTTGTAGGCTGTGGTCAGCAGCTACTTCAGGAACTCAACTCCTGACAGCTTTTAAATCCCTGTGGCTGAAATTCCTGATACCACAGCTCAAGGGGGGAAAGTCTTACTTTAGCTTACATTTTCAGAGGATCTTAGTCTACCATAGTGGAGAAGGCATGGCAGTTTAGCCCTGATTGGATGGTGCCAGGAGTGTGAGGTGGTGGCTGTTCCATAGCAGTAGAGGATGACCTGGGCCATACCCTTCAGAGTCTCCTCACCCCAGGGACCTCGTAGACCCTGCCTCTGAAAGGCCTCACAGCCTGCCATTGTAGTGCCACCAGCTAGGAACTGTGTTCCAGATATGAGCCCTTAGGGGTCATTTCACATTCAGAACATAACACTGCTTATAACAGTTTGGAAACAACATCAAACTGAGAAAAAAGTTGTAAAAACAGTACAAACAACATTGGATGCACTCACTAGTGCTGGCATGCTACTTGTATTGTCTAACCAGATGGACCCTCATCTATGCTTTCTCTGTATTCACATGAACCTCACTGTTTGAGAATAAGTAGGATGATGTGGCTCTCCATTTGCATAACCACAGTACAGTTGTCACTTCAGCATATTTAACATTAACGACAGACTTTGATTTCATCTATTCTCCACATTTGTCCACTGACTTACCTTTGGAAGAGCAGTCAGTGCTCTTAACCACTGAGCCATCTCTCCACTGACTTTCTTAGTGTTCTATTGCTGTGAAGAGACCCTATGTACAGTTTGAGAGGCTTAGTCCATTATCATCATGGCAGGGATCATGGTGACACACATGGTGCTGGAGCAGAAGCCAATAGCTACATCCTGATCTGCTTCCAGCAGGCAAAGAAACAGGGCCTGGCACAGTAGCACAGGCTTTTGAAACCTTAAAACCCATCTCCAGTGACACTCTCTTCAAAAAGGCCACACCTCCTAACCTAATTCAAACAGTGCCCTTCTCAGACTAAGAATTCAAATGCATGAGCCTGTGGGATCCTTTGTTTTTCAGACCACCCTACTCACCTGGAGCCAACCTGTGATTGAACTAGCTTAACTTGTCTAGTTTAGATTCCTTTAATCTGTAGTAGTTCCTCAGTTCTTGTCTTTCATCTTGTATATCTTTTTGAAAAACACAACTCTCTCCTCTCCTATTCTAAAAGTAAAACATTCCCTGTCTGCTGCCTGTACTGGGGGTTTGTCTAAGGTTTTCTCTCTGTTATTAGGCTGTACATTCCTAGGGCCAAAATCCTGTGTGATAGCTTGTCACATCTGCAGGTGTGAGACGTTTATCTGTTTCTTACTGGTGATGTATTGTACAATTCTCTGTGGAGTTATGATTTATTTCCTTTTGCTGCTGGTAAGCTGCTGTGAAGAGACTGGTAAAGATCCTACAACAGTCTTCTTACTTCCACTTATATTTTTATTTTCTTTCTTTCCTTTTTATTTTTTGTATGTCTAGTACTGGGGGTTCTTCCTTAAATGTAGTGTCTGTTACGATTCTTTTGAGACATGTTGATGTGTTTGTAAAAACATAAAAAGAGGATGGGATATGTTCTATGGAAGTGTAGTCAGGTATGGGGGAAGGGAATGTCTCTGCGGGCCCATGCTGAGGCATTCCCTCCCCCCTGAGGGACCAGCCACATGACGGTATAGTATAGACTAGAGTTTATTCAGGGCGGAGGGGAGGAGGAGAGTCAAAAGGGTAGTAGAGGCAGAGAAAGGGAGAGAAAGAGATAGAAAGGGAGAGGAAGAGAAGAAAAAAGAGAAGTAGAGGCCTGCCATGAGCATGTGGAGACGGGGAGGGGAATGGGGAGAGAGCAGGAGCAGGAAGGCAAGAGCAAGAGAGAACAAGGGAGAGAGGAGGGGGCAAGCAGCCCCTTTTATAGTGAGTCAGGCATACCTGGCTGTTGCCAGGTAGCTGAGGGGCAGAGCTTAGACAGAATGCTAACACATGTAGCCCAGGTTGACCTTGAACTTACCCTGTAGCTGAGGAAGACCTTGAACTCTTGATCCCCTTGCCTCCACCTCCCCAGTGCTTGGAAAGGGGCATGTTACTATCCCTGGTTTCTGTAGTGCAAAGGATGGAACCCAGGGCCTCTTGCATACTAGGCACTCCTACCAATGGAGCTCTATTTCCAGCCCTTCTGTTCTTGATTCACACACACTGGTCCTTACTGTGAAAATGTTAAAACATTTGTCTTCTAACTTGTTCATACTCTCTACTCTGGTCTTGATAAATCTCAGTTTGCTTAATAGACTCTGAATACCCTTGTTTCTGCACCTTGGTATAATTCTTTGTTTGTTTTTGTGTGTGCTACTTATGCATGTGCTGTGTTTGTGCCTCTGCATATGGAGGCCATAGGTTGAAGTCAGTTGTCTTCCTCAGTCATTTCTCAGTCATTTCTCCAGTTTATTTTTTGAGATAAGATCTTTTGCTGGACCTGAGGCTTACTGCACTGGGTAGCCTAGCTGGATACTAAACACCAGGGGAATCCTCTAGTCTCTGAATCACTAATGCTGGGATTATAGGCATGGATCACTGTGTCTGGCTTTTTGCCAATTTAATCAGCTCTCTGTCCCCTTCTGTTTGGTTTTTGTTTTTTAATTTTTTTTTTACTTAAGTAACGTGAAGGTTTTCTTTTTCAGTATTAGATTGAATTGTTCCTGTAGGTTCTTTGGGAGTAGAACTAGTCTGAAGAGGAAAGAACCCTGAAACAAATGAATGTCAGGTTTTCTTCAGCTCATTCATGTTGTGGCCTTGGTTACAGCATTACTCAGGGCATTTAAAGGCTCAAGTCAAAGGCTCAAGTCCAGTGCCATAACTGTAGTCTAGTTGGAATGACCAGGGTCATTTGTTCTCTCTGTTTCCTGGCTCAGCTTTTTTTTTTTTTTAAATTTAATTAATTAATTTTTTTTTTTTTTTGGTTTTTCGAGACAGGGTTTCTTTGTGTAGTCCTGGCTGTCCTGGAACTCACTCTGTAGACTGGGCTGGCCTCGAACTCTCGAACTCTCGAACTCAGAAATCTGCCTGCCTCTGCCTCCCAAGTTCTGGGATTAAAGGTGTGCACCACCACTGCCCGACTTGTTTTTTTTTTTTTTTGAGAAGGGTTTCTCTGTGTAGCCCTGGCTGTCTTTGAACTCACTCTTGTAGCCTAGAACTGGCCTGGAACTCACAGCCTCCCAAGTGCTGGGATTTAAGATGTGTGCCACTACTGTCCAGCTCAATGCATTCTTTATGTTTGTATAAAATTAATTGAGTGGATGCCTTTATTCAAGGACAATTATTTTCTGTCACCATGATAAACATCATCAGGGAAGAAAGTCTTTATTTCTTCTTACAACTCTCATGTTATAGATCATCATTAAGGAAAGACACAGTAGGAACCTGGAGGCAGGAATTCACTTCAGGCATCCTGGAGGAACATCGTTAATTGGCTTATTCCTCCTATCCCCGGAGCCTGCTTTATTATATATGCAACCTGGATTCATGGCCTAGGGGTGGTACCACCCGACGTGAACTGGGCTTTCCCATGCCAATCATTAATCAAGACAGTTCCTCCACTACCTACAGGCCAGTCTTATGGAAACATTTTCACAATTAATATTCCCTCTTCCCAGATATATGTAGGTTTGTGTCTAGTTGACAAAAACCAATTAGCACAGGTAATGGAGTTCTTCCTTTACAAATGATAACAACCCAAGTTGAGTGGTGTAAAAAGAGAGGATGCAATAGTCAAAGAAACTAGACTGGAGAGGAGTAGTGTTGCTTCTGGAGTGGCTCTGAGAGGAGCCTGTACCTCTGGGCTCCGCTATTTTTCTGTGGCTTTGTTCTTCGCACACTTTTGTACATGGCTTTAAGGGAGCACTAGTGGCTTTATGTTGATGGCTTTCCTTTCTTAGTAATTTTACTGAGACTCTGTGATTCCATTGGCCTCATTGTATCATGTTCTTGTCCACAAACCAATTGCTGTAGGGACAGTGGGATTAATGTTACTTGGTAGCTAGTAACTGACAGAATCATTTGCTAATCATTGGTGCTTGAGAATATATAGTCAAGAGTCATCCAGACTATATAAACTCAGAAGAATCTAGAACCCAAACCAGTATGCTACAAAAAGAAAGGAGATAAAGCAGTTGTGAAACACACATGCCAGGGACAAGGTATGCAAGCCAAATGGGCATTCTATTGCTGTCCTTTAGTGTGCACTCTTCTTAGGAGACTAACATAGTTGATTTCAGTGTCTTCTGGTAAGCACTGAGTTTAAGTGGTATTCTGGGATTGTGGAAATTCAGAGAAAGGTTGTTCAGGTATCTTGTCTTTGGAAATTATGTGGAGATGATGTTTTAGGTGAAGGGCTTGGAGAAAAAAGGTGCAATTGCAGGTCATCTTGTTGGAGCAAAGTGTGGGAAATGAGATTGAAAAGCAGTTATATGGGGTACCCATGACCAAAAGGGATTTGTTAATTACTGTCCTTTGGCTGTGACAAAACACCATGACCGATAAAAAAAAAGCATTTAAATTGGGACTTACTTACTTACAGTTTTAGAGTTAGTTCATGACCATCATGATGGGGACAATGGTGGCAGGCAGGCAGCATGGGACTGTGTGGTGCACACACACACACATACACACACACACACCAATCACACAATGGGCCTAGTATGGGCTTTTGAAAGCCCACCCCCAGTGACACACCTCCTCCAGCAAGGCCATATTTCCTAGTCCTTCCCAAACAGTTCCACTAATTACTGACTGAGGATCAAATATATGAGTCTATGGGATCCATTCTCATTCAAGACACCACAGGGGAATGGTCAGCTTTGCATAGTCAACAGATCACTGACAGCATTATGACAATGAAAATAACTTTAAGATGAACCACATCAGCAGTAATAGAGCAGTCATGACGTTACTCTGAGTGCACATGATGATAATAGAAAGGGAAGGTTGGGGCAGATTGAAAATTGTGCAGAATCAGACTGATGGAAAAATGCAAGATGGCTGTCATATGTTTGTTTGAGTCACTAGTTTAGAACAGTACCTCCAAAGTCTGGCTAATAAAGGGGTGAATTAGAGCTAGAAAGATCAAAGTATTTAATTCCCTTTACATGCTGCGTGTGGAGTAGTTGCAGAATATCAGATGTATGTCTAGCAGGCATTTGGGGTGCTTCATTTTTCCAGAGAAAGAAGTTAAGATTAGAAATCGTGAGCTAGGCAAAAGCACCAGTAGGGTGAGCGGGGTCAGAGGATAAAGGTAGGCCAACGAGATCAGGATTACACCGATCTTTGTAGTCACTGAAGAGCAGTAATTATAAAGATGGGCGAAGAATCGGAAGACTGTGTTTAAAACAAAACAAACTAGAGAACCTAGAGAAAGTTTCATCATCAGGAGAGAGGAAATTTGTGCATTTTTATGGAGCGACAGTCTTTATGTATGAAGTTAGTGAATTAGTACGTGTGACAGTGAGGGTGTGTCTGACATTGGCTGCACTTTAAACACGAACTGCACTTTAAACACGCAGGCACAATGAGAATAAATATAGAGCCCATTTTTATGACTTTTACTGTAGTGGTGAATAGTTATCTGCTTTGGCTCCCAGTGGGCTGTGAGCTCTGGGTAGAGCTCTGGGTACACAAATGAAAGACGTGCATGTGCAGCCTTTATATTTACTATGCTTTAACTAGCTCAATGGTCGGGCACTTCCAAACCTTCCCACAGCTAGCACACACTCCCCTCTGGTATTCCTGAGTTAACATCTTTTAAAATCTATATTTTATCTCTGCTACCCAAGATCCAGTTGGGGGGATGGCCCCTAAGGCTACTTTCCTGGATTCTTACATGTTGGCAGGCCTTTAAATCTGCCCCTCCCCCATGGTGATTCTTCTTCCTCAGTCCCTTGCCTGCACAATCTAAAAGTCCTGCCTCTGTCTCCTTGCCCAACCATTGGCTGTGCCGCACTTCTTTATTACCAATCAAAGCCAGCTGGGAGCAGGGACCCTTAGTGTCTGGAAGCGCTGGCTTTTGGGAGCCTAATTAAGACAAAGCATTATCACCCTGTGGCTAAGAAGGCTGCTGCACCTGGAGCACAAGGCCAAGAAGGCAAAGGGTAATGTGAAGAAGGGCTGCCTGGATTCCTATGCTTATGTCCCACTCAACAGAACTAAGCTCAGCCTCAGGAAAAAGGTGAAGCTACAGGGACAGTTTAAAAGTCTGGTGAAAGCTGCCCAGCGGGGATCCCAGGTGGAACATAAACTGCAGAAAGGATCATTGGCCCTGAATCCTCCTAGGGAGTGGAGCTATTCTTTGCTGCCGTCCAGGGCCCCTTTCTAGCTCCCATGATGTCCAACACCGACTCCAGGTGTGAGGCTTGCTGAACCTGGATGGAGAATGACTCATTGGAACCAGGTGCTGAACCTAGACAGAGAAGACTCAATGGAAGCAAGACTCAGTTCAAGAGAGATGCCTAGGATTTTGGAAACTAATGTCCTTTAGAAACATTGTCGGCATCTAGGAGTGGAAATGTGACTTTGCTACTTCTGAGAAGGCCCTAAGTGTGAGCTCTGCTTTCTGTCCAACATGGCCATGAGAACAGAGAGATGACTGTGGTCTGCATGTGTAAGGTCTGCTGTAACCAGTCGAAGAATAAATGTGCATGAACATACATCAACCCCGGGGGGTGGGGGGGGAAGGCAAAGCATTAGAACTAATCCCCGGCCGGTAGTGGTGGCGCACACCGGTAGGATTTGCTGAAGGAGGCAGAGGCAGGAGGAGCACAAGTTCGAGGCCAGCCTGGGCTACACATGGGGCTGGAGAGATGGCTCAGTGGTTAAGAGCACTGACTGCTCTTCCAGAGGTCCTGAGTTCAAATCCCAGCAACCACATGGTGGCTCACAACCATCCGTAATGAGATTTGATGCCCTCTTCTGGTGTGTCTGAAGACAGCTACAGTGTACTCATAAGTAAAATAAATAAATCTTAAAAAAAAAAAAGAACTAATCCCCGAAATTTTACAAACAGTTGAGATTGTTAATGGTGAGCCAAAGTCTTTGGTGTGAGCCTGATTAAATGAGGGGCATGGAGGACTTTTGGTGCTGGTCAGTGCTCTGCAGCTTGACCTACCTGTGAAACCTCTGATCTGTGCTCCAGATGCATGAGCTTTTCCTAATGCAAACCTCAGTTTCAGAGAAGCCACAGGATGGGGCGGGGATGGAGGGTGGTTCACAAGGAGCCATTGGACAGGACTGGGGGAGGTTCACAAGGAGCACTGGACAGGACTGGGGGAGGTTCACAAGGAGCACTGGACAGGACTGAGGGGAGGTTCACAAGGAGCACTGGACAGGACTGGGGGGAGGTTCACAAGGAGCACTGGACAGTGCTGGGGGAGGTTCACAAGGAGCACTGGACAGGGTTCAGTGTAGGGTTTGTATTTTATAAGATAAGGACTGAAAAGTTACATGGTCTGTTCCTGTGTGAAGAGCTTGTCCTCTAGGGTATTGATGTGTTCCTGGTAAGAACTGCATTTAATTGTTGCCTAAATCCTTATTTAGGCAAGAAATACAGCCTACGAATGGATCAGGACATCTCTGGCTAATCCAGTAGCAGAGAAAGAAGAAGGAGAACAACAGTTGGAGGCAAAAAATACTAAGGAAGCCCAGAAACATTCAATAGAGGTAACCAAAGCAACTAAGCTCTTTTAAAGAAGGATGAAATTGAGGGGCTGGCAGATGGCTCAATGGTAAAGGGTTTGCTGCCCAAGCATTAGGACCTCAGCTCAGGTTCCCAGCATCTACGTAAAAGGCTGAATGTGATATCACATAGTTGTAACCCTAGTGCAGAAATGTGTAGGGTGTGAAGACAGGAGGAATTCCTCCAGATATCACTGGCCACCCAGTGTAACCATAACAGTAGGCTCCAAGTTTAGTGAGAGACCCTGTCACAAAAGATAAAGTGGGGGTTGATAGAGGAAGGCATCAGACATGGGCCTTTGGACTCTATGCTCACACACCAGCGAGTACATCCCCCACACACAGGTGAGTATACCCCCCCCACACACAGGTGAGTGCCTCTCCCCACACTCATACACAGGTGAGTGTGCCCCCTCACACACACACACAGATGAGTGTATCCCCACCCCACACTCATGCACACCGGTGAGCACACACACACACACACACCCTCCCACAGATGAGTGCATACCCCTACACTCATGCACACAGGTGAGTACATACCTTCACACACATGCAAACAGGTGAGTACACCCCCCATACACTCTCATATAGGTGATTGTATTGTTCCCCCCAACCCCTCACTGACACACTAAAATAGAGGTGACAGTGCAGTTGAGCTAAGGTCCTTTTATTTTGTTATGCTGGTATCAATAATTTAAACATGATGATTCAGGTTGATATCATTTTAGTTCCCGAATGTAGAAGAGGGATGAATAAAAATAAAGAAGTGAAGGAGAGACGGAAGGAAGGAAGGAGGGAAGTTGGCTGTAACTCAGAGTTTCCAGACATTTATCTTAGTCCTTTGGCTAGACTTGGTTAAACGATCACAGCCAGCCGTTCAGGGGCCTCGGTTGCTGTAGTTATGAGCCCAGCTGTGGAAGGTGCTGTACTGTGGAAGAAGAGCAGGCCTGTTAAACAGTGGCCATTGGTCTCTTCTACTTGGAAAGCATCATAATCTTTCTTTAGTGTAAGAAGCAAGGGGGCTGTCATTTTCACTTACAACGGTAAACAACAATAGCAATAATACTCTGTTTGCTTTGTTTGGCTCCTAGGATATCCATGCATTTGCAATCCGGAGCTTAGCAGAGTTCACTGCCTGCTCAATTGAGTTGTTCCACAAAACAGCAGCACTGATTCTGCATGGCCAGAGACAGGAGGTGACAGCTTTAGAGAGGAGCCAGACTCTCTCCCAGTAAGTACGATGCAGCCTGCATCGCTCAAGGGAACCTGCTGAGAGGGATTTCTTGTTCCTCCCAGCTTTTAGAAAGTTGCTTTTTAACAGGCACTGGTCCCGTTGTGCATAGGTACGTGTTAGAGACCTGCCCGTTTAGGGTATTGTTACTGAGCGGGGCAGGTCCACATGTAAACCTACCCATTCCATGAGCTGACTCATTCTCTGAAAACTGTCTTTGCAGATTGTTAGTCTTGGTAGGAGTGGAACTTGGCATAAGTAACAACAGAAAGTGGGGCTAAGTTCTTCAGCTCTTAAGTACAGTTATTAGTCACCAGTGCTCATTGGATGCCAGGCACTGTGCTAAGGGGTTCATGGATATCATGTCTAATTTTTACAGCAGCACAAAAGGTAAATGTTTAGTACAGATGGAGGAAGTGTAGACCTAGGGCAGTTAAAGGAGGCTGCCCGAGCCCCACACATATTTTTTCATTTTTGCTGATTTTGAACAAACATATTTCAAAGTAGTAAAATGTGAATAATTGCAGTAGAAAGGATAAGCCTAAGCCCTAAGCCTAGTAGTTTATAAATCTAAATAGATGTCATCCTTGTGTGTGACGGGGGCGGGGGGGAGAGAGAATGTGTGTGTGTATGTGAGAGAGAGACACACACAGACAGACAAACATGGGGGTAAGGGAGAGGAGCTTGCTATGTAGCCTAAGCCAGCTTCAAGTTTGAGGCCAATCTGGTCTACATAATGAGTTCCAGGACAGCCAGAGCTACATAGAAAGGCCCTGTCTCAATATTAACAAACAAAACAAACCAGCCAGCCAGTAGTACCAGTGACTATTGTATGGAAGTATTGGGAGTAAAGAAGTCACACATTATAAGGAGACTGTGGCAGTTTTTGAGCCTTAGGGAATTATCACACGAGTTGTGGAAGACTTAATATAGGTGACAGATGAGCAAGGGCAGGGAACTGTTTTCACAACTTGAGCTGGAGGGACTTGGGCAAGAAGGAAAGGAACTAGGAAAGGGAGAGGACCTACAGAGACTAGAACCTGAGAGGGTGGTTGGTTTAGAAGTCACGATGAGAGAAAAAAGCATGGCTTCCAATGCAGAGTCAGGGAGCTCATTCACCCAAGAAGCATCCCTTGTAGGAAAAGGCAGGTAAGGGACTGTCTGTAGCAGGGAGGAGCGGGTACTTATCACCAAGGAGCCCAAGGTGGCATACAGAGCAAGACTTTGGGTCACTCTGTCTCCTAAGTATTCTAGAATTGTGTATTCCATACTGAAATAGTGGAAAGAGATGTATTTACACCATTAAATGCGTCCTTCATTCCGAGGAGGAATCTGTCTCTGTGTAGCAGTTGTTAAGCATTGTGTATTAAATGAATAGAAAGAGAAGGAAGAGTGGAACTCTCCTAATGGTTTCTTCTCTCTAGAATGACAGTCATGCTGTGTAAAGACCTGGCCTCTCTGTCTAAAGAGTTCACCACCTGCCTGACCACAGCTGGGGTAAGAATTCTGCCTTGTGGAGCCAATGTCTGAAATAGTTTACATGCCATAAAGTTCGCCTGTCTCTGTACAAGTTGATGCTTGTCAGTGTATTTACAGAGCTGTACAGTTGCAGTTAGGATTGGCATCTAGGAGGTTGCATCACTGCCCCTAAGATCTTCACACGTTAGCTAGCACTCCCCATTCCCTTCTCTACACTCCTACTATGAGGAAGGATGGTGCGTTCTCTCTCTCTCCAGAAAGCTTTCATATTCTAGACATTTTATATCAATGAGATAACGTGTATGTTTTGTTAGATTGGAATGATAGTTTTGAAGTGGTCAGGCACCATGTAAAGGTTACCCTTTGCCCATTGAAGTCTCTGTCCTCTTGTCAGAAGTCATAAGATTATAGACACTTGGTTTTATTTCTCATGTCTGTATTTGAGTACCATGCACTTTACTCTGGTAGTTTGCATGAGAAATGCTCTCCATAGACTCAGGCATTTGATTGTTTGGTCCCCAGTTGGTGGCGATATGTGGTGGGGAGGTCATGGAATTTATAGGCTGTCAAGCCTTGCTCGAGAAACTCAAAGGCCTGTCTTCAAAACAGTTGAGGTGTTTGTGCGCTTATTTTAGAATTGTCCCGGTATTGTAGTCAGGTGTCCAACTGCCCTTCTAAAATGAAGATTACTTTTCTTCCTGTAGTTTATCTGCATGTTTGCTTCATTGTTCTAATTTCTCTGAGTGCACTGTCTTGGTTTCTTTCCCTGTAGCTGTGATCGAATATTGCAGCAGGTGGAGCTTAAGGGGGACGTTATAGGGTGTAGTCCATCATGGTGGGGAAGTCAGGGCCGCAGGAGCCTGAAGCCGCTGGCCTTGTCTGCAGTCGGAGCAGAGAGCAGTGAATGCATGTGTGCTGGTGTTCAGCCTGCCGCCTCCACCAGAGCAGTGCAGGAGCCTCTGCGAGGGAGTGGTCCCTCACAAGCCTGCGCAGAGGCCCATGTCCCAGATGACTCTAGAGTCTGTCAAGACAGCACTAATCATCACGAGTACAGATTCACCCCCAGTTTTCTGTCTTGTCCCTCCTAGTGTTGGCTGCTCTCCTCTCTCTCTTAAGTAGTCCTGCTCGCTCCTTCCTGCCTCCCCACCTCTCTCTCCACGACCACAGACAAGTGTTACTCTAGACTCCACATCTATTAGAGAAAACATGTATGTTCTTCTTTGTGAGACTGGCTTGTTCTACTGAACTCTGGAGAGTGCCATCTCTCCTGCTAGTGACATACCTTCGTTTCTCTTTTCGCCTGAATAAAACTCCATTTTGTGTTCATATCATACAGAATGAAGATATTTTAACAAGTTGCTAAATGACTACAGGTTGGTGAAATGACTCAGGGTAAAGGCGCTTGCTGAGCAAGCATGATGGCCTGAGTTGAGGGCATGGTGGAAGGAGAGAACTGGCTCCTGAAATGTCCTCTGACCTCCATGCTTGGGCTGTTGCCGTTACTCATGTGAACCTCAAGAACACACACACACACACACACACACACACACACACACACACCAGTAACACCAGCAAAACCCCCCAAACTACTAAGCAGTGTACATTCTCAATTTGGTAGCATAGAAAGGTATAAAAAGTAACCTTGCAACACTTAAGGTTTCCTTCCAGAGATGACACTTAGCTCTCCCTTGGTCAAGATGTTCTATGGCATGTGTGTCTCAAGGTGAGAATCTGTTCTGCCTGTTGTTGTTTTTTAAGCTGTGCTGTGACAAAACTCTCTCCTTTATTCCAGGTCAGAGAGAAGGCTGATGTTCTTAATCCACTAATCACTGCAGTGTTTCTGGAGGTTAGTGGTGATGGTTTTCTGTCTCTGACTCCTAAGGCATTATGTGTTAATGTTTTTACATACTTAAGTTTTGCTTTTTAAAAACCAGATTGCAGTTTAGCCCTGCTGATACAGACATCACTAAATGCTGATTACTGGATGTACATTCCCTGCTCAGTAGTCAGAGGGTGTATCAAAGCTAAAAGGTAAAGTGACATGGAAGGAGCCGTAGGAGTCATTACTCACTTCCTACCCCTCGAAGCTTAATGCACAGTTTTCAGTAATGAAACACCTTCTGGGGACCAGCTGTTTGTTAAACAGGAAAGACCGAAACTCATTCAGACAAACACTGCTTCCTAGAAGGCTGGGCCTCATGCAGAGATGTCAGAAAAAGGCATGTGGCCATTTCCAAGGAAAAGTTCTGCTCGGTTTTGACAGAGCGGCACTGGAGCTCGAATATCCTTGTCAGTCTGTGAGAGGTAGCACCATAAGGTATAAGTCTCTGGAAGGGGTGGGAAGAGAGGTGGCTCAGTGGTTAAGTGGCTGCTCTTCCAGAGGGCCTCCCCCTAGGCTTAATTTCCAGCCCCCACATGGTGGCTCATAAATGTCTGCATACATGAAGGCAAAACACCAATATACATAAAGAAAAAGTTTCCGGGGAGAAGTGAGAGGATGCTGTCGTTGGTCAGATTGCCACCATGTGGAGTGGTTTCTGGAGTCCATGCTGTCAGAGTTCCAGCAACTCAGACCCGTGAAGGCCTGGTGAGAGGAGCTTCTGTAAAGCTAGGAGAGAAATACATTGCTAGTTGGTTAGGTTTTAATTATGAAGTAAGGGTCAGTGAGATGGCTCGGTAGATAAAGGTGCTTGTTCCCAAGTCTGACAGCCTGGGTGTGATTCACAGGATCCACATGGACTCCTGATGGTTGTTCTCTGACTTCCACATGTGCATTATAGCGTGTATACACCCACATGTGCGCACACACAATTAAATAAAAACATAAATAAAAAGATTTTAAAGAACCAGTTAGACTGTTGAGTTTAAAATTATTTTAAGTTACTTTTAAAGAAATGTTCTTAACCCTCCAGCTACACAGCTTTGAGTAGCTTAGACCTCTTGTGGTAAGCTTTGTTTTTGTTTTTTTGTTTTTTATTTTGTTTTCTTTTTTTTCAAGACAGGGTTTCTCTGTATAGCCCTGGCTGTCCTGGAACTCACTCTGTAGACCAGGCTGGCCTGGAACTCAGAAATCCACCTGCCTCTGCATCCCAAGTGCTGGGTTTAAAGGCATGTGCCACCACTGCCCAGCTTGTTTTTTGTTTTGTGGGTTTTTTTGTTTGTTTGTTTGTTTTTTGTTTTCCCTCTTGTGATAAGCTACACTGCCTTTAAACATGAGCCTATGGTTTAGTGGCTGGCAGAGTTGAAAGCACTTGGCAGCCAGGAGGCCTCCCTCATAGTCCTGGGTAGGAGATGCCTTTTCTGGCAATCTTACTTGTTTTAAGTGCAAGGAGCTGTAACTAGATAATCTCTAAGGTCTCCTTTGGCTGGAAACTGTGTTATCAAGTGCCCCACTGATGTTCTGATAGGAGTGCCAGACACTGATAAGTGTACAAAAGGCAGGCTATCTTGGTGTGAGCTCCCTGTTTCCATTTTGAATGGCCTATTCTTACAAACACATATGAAACACTCTTGTCCTTGGAAATGTATGTCTTTATTTTAGGCTGTTGTTCTGTGAAGGGAGAGCCTGTCAGATATAAGCCAGATCTACATACTTGGGTGTAAAGATTCTCTGAGGCTTCTCATTCACATGTCTGTCACACTGAGCAGACTGTGTCTGTACTGTTCATACCTGTGTGCAGTGCTTCCGTCATGGCATTGAGTCTGTGGAAGGGGCTGCAGTGGTTCAGAGCCTCCTGAGAGCATCTGTCAGTCTCGACTCTAGTGCAGGAACAGAGTGTAGCCGTTCAGTCATGAAACAGTCAAAGCTGCCATGATGGGTGGGGTGGGGAGCTGGTATTCTTTTGGTGTTGCTGCATTATCTGAGTCCTAGGTCTGTCTTGCCCATGTCAAACTTGAGTACAGTAGTCAAGCCTGTCCTTTCTTTACTTCACAAGCTGCGGCTTCCATTGGATCGCAGACATAGGACTGTTGTTTCGTTGTTGTTAAGTATTTCCTCCTTTATGTGATTGTAACGTTTTCTCTTTGGTGACTTCTCAATTCCGCCAGGCCTCAAACAGTGCCTCCTACATTCAAGATGCCTTCCAGCTCCTCCTGCCCGTGCTGCAGATCTCTCTCGTCGAGAGCAAGACAGAGTCACCCAGGTGTGAGCTATCAGCCCAGAGACCTCTGACAGAGCACTGAGGAGCAGAGAAGAGTCTGCCTGAGATCATGATAGCCAAGAAATCTGACTTTGCTCAGGGACACCCTGCAGCCAGAGCGAGACATAGTACTGAGTGTGAGAGCCTGGGCAGGGCGCAGACTCCCAGGGGTGCTTGCTTCTCGATGTAGCTGCTGTGCTCGGCTGCTCACACTGCTCTCTCTTCCCAGCCTTATAAGTAAAACAAAACAAAACAAAACAAAACAAAACAAAACAAAACAAAACAAAACGTATTCCAGGAAAGTCAGTGGGACATTCTGGCAAAAATGCTGGACTTTCTTAGAAAGGTCAGAAAACACTAAAGACTGTCATGGATGTCATTTGTAGCCAGTGGTAAAGTTGTTAAACAGGAGAGATCAAAACCTCAATTCGGTATCCTGGGGTTTATAACATTCTTCGTACCCTGGAGTTTGGGTTTTCTCCTTTGCAGAATAAAGCCTGTGGCTTTTAGAAAACTGAGACTAGATTAGCCCTAAGTGGGATGGTCGGACAGAACTGTCTGCCCTTTCACCTCCAGCTGTTTGGCATGGAGCCACGTGTATGAACCACAGCAAAGTGCCCTTTGACTTCAAATGACTCTTTTCCCAGTGAGACCACTGCTCAATCCAACTCAAGGGCATGCAGCTGCATGTCTGCAGGTGCTCTGCGGCTCTCCAGGCTGCATTGTGCACACCCTGCCTGAGGCTGCATTCATGCAGGGTGCATCCTTCAGCTGCCAACTCCAGAGCCAGAGGAGGCTCTTTTGGTGATGGGGTTTTGTTGAGTCCTGTGAAGATGTTCACTTACCACAGGATTTAGCCGCAGGCGTTTCCCCTCATTGTTCCTTAGTTTTGATGTATCTGTTACTGTGCTTTGAGAAGAGCTCACCTGCCGTCCTGTACTCTGAAGCCTGCCCTGCAGTTCTCAACAGTTAAAAGCTATTTTGGTATCTGGGCTTTTTGAAAATGTTCATTAACTTTTTGATTTTTTAGTGGCTCTGGTAACTTTTGGGAGCCCCGTCCTTCATCTTTGAAACCATTAAAATAAAATATAATTAACGTGTGGTATTTAAGAAATATCTAGAATTAAAATATTTTACTTTAATGTCCATTTTCATAAGAGGCTTAAAAATGAAGTGTTTGAGAAGCAAGGGTATTCTGAGAATGGTAAGCCCCTTAAGTAACAAGTCGTTAAGGCCTCATCCAGTCTGTGAGGGGAACTTTGAAAATATGCGCACTGGTAAGACTCCAGCTGCAGTCCACTCCTCAGACACCAGTCTCTCGTTTCTCTGCTCAGAAGCCTTGCTGGTTATTTTGTTGTCTGAAGGAATCCCACGTCCCTAAGTGCTTTGTGTTGGTCATTTTCCTGGGGAGTTAATGGGACATCCAGATGTGCTCTCAGCACTTGTCGCTGAGCTTGAGGTGAAGAGAAGTAATGGGTTCTTCACTTACAGATCAGGGCTGTACTTGCCAGAGAACACATTTCTGAGCAGTCTGACCTTGCGGAAGACCTTGAGCCCAGCTGCACGCTCCAGCTGATTCTATGGTGCAGGTCAAGTAACTGCACTTCATGTGGGGATGTGTGCCTGTATTGGTATTCTTAAAAGTATTCTCATTATTGTTTGAGAATATCATCCGTGTGAACAATGCATTTGAATTCTATACACTCCAAGCCTCATTTCTAACTCTCCCAAAGCATCCCCACAACATCCCCTCCCAACCTCATGTCCTTTAAAAAGTTATTTTTGTTTTATGTTTTTGATAACCCACTGAGTCCCATGAGGGCTGTCCACCTGTCCACATATCCAGAGGAGCAATGGCAGCCTGCCAGGGACCACACCCTAGAGGAAACTGACTCAGCTCTTCCATAGCCACCATCGAGAGCTCCTCAGCCAGCAGTTGGTCCTTATGAGCCCTCCCCATCCATGTTGGAATGCTGACTGACTTGAACTGGTTCAGCAGGCATCCACAGCTGCTGTAAGCTCATGGGTGCAATGTTCCTATCATGTCTAGAAAACACTTTCACGGTAACCCTCCACCATCTGCTTGCTCTCCAGTCTATCTGCTCTTTGAAGCTGTCCTCTGAGCCTTGAGGGGGGTAGGGTGTGGTACAGGTGTCACATTTGTAGCTGAGTGTTCCCCTGCCACTTGTTTTCTGAATATTAACCCAAATATGCTTGCTTATTTATTTATTTATTTATTTATTTATTTATTTATTTATTTATTTATTTTATCTGTGGCTGGTCTGGAGCTTTCTGTGTAAACCACACTGGCCTCAAACTCAGAGGTCTACCTGCTTCTGCCTAGAGTAAAGACATTCATCACCATGCCTGGCTTACGTAACTTTTGAAAGCATATTTACGAGCTAGAATGAACAGTCTCATTTGAGTAACTTATAGTGAACATGGAAATTTCAGTTGAGATTTTAAACCCAAAGGGCTTAAGTTTTTCATGCAACTGAAACCCGCTTACCTCTCATGTGGCACTGAATAATTCAGCTGTGCATTAAAGGAGAAGTCTCGAAGTCGAACAGTATGTGAATATTGCCTTCAGTAAATCTGGATGTACTTCTGTATCCAGCATAACTGTGTTAGTAAGAGTTCTCTAGAGTAATAGAACTTACAGAATGAGAATCTCTCTGTGTAGGGATGTTTATTAGGATGACTTACAGGCTGTGGTCCAGCTAATCCAACAATGGCTGGCTATGAACAGAAAGTCTGAGAATCTAGTAGTTGCCCAGTCTGTAAGGCTGGGTGTTTCATCTGCTCTTCAGTATTTGCTGGCATCTTGAAGAAGTAGATCTAATGCCAGTGAAAGGATGGACTTGCTCACAAGTCAAGGGCCAACAGGCAAAGAGCAAAAGCTTCCTTTCATGCTCTCGTATAGGCTTCCTGCAGAAGGTGTGGCCCAGCTTAAAGGTGTGTCTTCTTACCTCAAGATCGGGATTAAAGATGTACATTAAAGGTGTGTCTGCCATCTCAGAGATCTGGATTACAAGTGGATCTTCCTACTTCAACTTAAACAAAAATCCCTCACAGGTATGCTGCCCCCACCCCACCCCAGCCCCCCCATTTTTAGATTTTAGTTGATTCTACCTGTAGTTAAGTTGTCAACCAAGAACAGCCATCACAGTGACTCTCCAGCTCACTTTGGTGTTCTGTAGCAGGGTCGGAAGTGTGGCAGGAAATCCTCATTGGCTCAAAGAGAAGAGAAAGGAAACAGGGCAGAAAGAAAAGACGAGAGACAAACTGTATAGAAAAGGCAAGTCTAGTGCTTTCTATCAGTACAGAATAGGATCTGCTGGCATCTGGAGTGTGTGGTTAAACTGTGTGGCTCCCCAGCCAAGGGCACTGAGGCCTCCTAAGAGGCAGACTCAGGCCCTGTACCCAGGTCTTCTGATCTGTTTATGCCTGTCTGACATGAGATCCCACCTAACTTCGGCATGTGTGGAGAGACACTGGGCTAAGTGCTGGGGAAACAGAATATGGAGTGCGAGTGTTCTGTTCACATTAGTTCACACTGGTGGCTCTGGCTGAGCCATCTCCATGTAGCAGCCGCGGAAACCTCAGAGGAAGGTAGGGAGGAGCTACTCGTAACAAACTATGGCTGGGTTGGATGGCCTTGTCTTGTACCTGGTCTGCCTGTCCAGTTGGGTTAGCATTGCAGATGTTTACAGGTGTGCTCATCACACCCTTGTTGCTGCCTCGGCTGGTTTTGCCTCAAGGAGCTGATATCTACTGTCTCTGGAACTGTGGAATTATCAGCCACCAACAGCTAAAAGGAAGCTCACACAGGGAGCCCTTTGAATAGGAAGTACTTGTGGAATGTACTTTAAATTCTCATAACTACTTGGGGGTCAAGGTAATGGCACCCCAGTTTTGGGGCCGCAAGACTGCTGCAAACAGGCTGATAAATGAATCTCTGCTCTTTTGTTTCCCAGTGCTATGGCAATGAACAAGTAATCAACTCCTCGATTTTACCTGTAAAGTCAATCTCGTGACACTGTGAGTCAGTCATTGGTAGGTTGATCTGTGTAAATCATCTGTGGAGACCCTTCCATGTGACAGTGTACAGGACACTGTCCTGAATACGTGTCATGCACCGCTTACACCATTTAATCCTCATAATCACCCTGCTGATAACATGCTTGTTTATAGATGAGGGAAACTGAGGGATGGGAGAGTTAAGTCAGTCTGAGGTCACAGAGGTGTCAGTGATGGGGCTCAAACCCAGAGCACCAGAGTTCCCACTTTCCATGACATGACATAGTCACCATGAGCCATCAGCAGGGAAACCGGTTTAATTCTTAGCTGTTATGATAATGACTGTGAAACAGACCAAGAGACCTGGCTTTTAGATGTCCAGCTCTGTGTGCAGGGAGTCTGTCCTGTGCTTTTAACCTCCTATGTGTCCCGTGTTATTTCCCGAAGGGAACAGCACTGAGATGCCCATCTAGTGCTAAAACCTGTGTGGGAGCATCTGCTTGGGGTTTCCCAGCGCCACTAGACTTGGCATAGAAAGGACAATATGGTCACAGAACATGTTTGACACAGCAGGAACAAAGGCCTCCGTTATGTAGGGACATCTGTGTTGATTAGTGTAATTAGTGATGAAAAGGGAAGACATGCTTTGCCTACCAGCTATGCTTGTAACACCCCCAAACTGGAAAGACCTCGACCCTGATACAATCATATTAAGTGATTCTCAGCAATTAAAGTAATGAACCTGTAATAGAGCTTTGTTACAGCTGAGGTCAATCCTAAGGGAATTAATTATGTAAACTGGGGGTGGGGGGGGGAAAGCCTGGCTACATTCTGCATAATTCTATTTATATAGCATTAAAAATGACAATATAATCAGGACCCGGCTTCTTGTCTGATGTCTGTACATCAGCTGAGTCTAAAGATAGACCACTCTCCAGTACCGTGAGGGTTCTAGAGGCTGTGGAGTGCCTGCCTTATTCTGGCTGGAGGGCAGAGTAGCAGCAAGGAACCCACAGAATGCCACTGAGAAGACTAAGCTGTGAGCCAGCACCAGGGAGGCAGTCAGGCACACTGAGTCCTGGCCAAGGCAACATGGAGTCAGAGTTGAATTGGTTTGGCCATATCTTAGGGAAGAATGAACTGAATAGGAAGCATGGGACCTCTGGTTGGAAGGAGTGCCCTCTGTCAGAGCAGGGTCAGACTTGACATGGAATTGGTGGACTCCACAGTGCTTGCCCTAGTTATCCAGAATCACCTGAGATCTTTAGCAGGTTGGTCTGTGGGCATGTGAGTTGGGGAGTGTCTTGACTGTTATTTGACATAGGACAGCCTCCTAATCCACTGAGGGTGGTACCGTTCCCTGGGCAAATGGGAGCTGGTGAGAGAGCTGGTAAAGCATCCTCTTCCTCTGTTCCCGACTGAGTTCCTGGGCTGATGTCTGTGATTGACCGTGACCTGGAAGTCTAAGCTGAAATAAGCAGTTTTCTTCCATCAGTTGCCTTTGGGCAGACTCCCCCCCCCTTCACAGTAGTATATATCAACCTAGAACAGTGTCCCTTCCACAGTCAAGCAAGCAGTGACAGCAAGCAGTGTGGGTCCTGACCTTGAGACAGGATGCTCTGCCTCCAGCAGACTCTGCTAGAGAAACATCTGTATCTGGAAAACAAAGGGTCTGGTTGAGCAGGGAGTGAGTAATATGGGCTGCTGGGGATGGAATTGCTCACAGCTGGCAACAGGCTGGCTCCAAGTTCTGCAGAAGGTCGGAGACAAGAGAGGTGAGGGGATGGAACTCCCTGGGAACTGGTGGATGGGAAGATGGGGAACTCCCATGACCTCTAGGCTTTCTCCTGCCCTGGCCATCCAGCCTCTGCCGCTTCCCTCTGCCTCATCATCTTGCCGAGGTCTGAATGCTTATCCCACAGACCAGGAAGCGATGGCCATGAAACAGAAAAAAACAGGCCTGGCCTCAGAATCCAGACGATAGATGTTCACACAGCCTAGGGAGAGGGCGAAGCCAAAAAGGAAGGGAGGGAAAAGGGCCACACCGGTGTGAGACTCCAGGGGAATGGCAGCAGCAAAGGTGAAGGGCTGCACCATGGAAGAGTCCACGCGTCTTAGTTAT